CAATATCATTAAACTCAGCTAAGATTTCAGTATACTTATTGCAATCAAGACCTTCCAGTTGCAACACCAGTTTGTTAAGACTAAGATCCGTGGTGGTTTTGTTTTCGGCTTTCATTGTTTCGATGTAATTGAATAGTGGGAGTTCAGTGAGTTTATCTTCTTTCTTATATTCCTTGTATAACTTCACCTCATCTAATTCAACAAAGTCCTTGAGCACAAGTTTAGAGATCTTCTGGTATTTAGGGTAGGAGAGAATTCGGGCAACATCAAGATTATTGTAGCTTTGGTTCAGGATATGCAATTCCATAGAATCGGCAAATCTGTATTTGTTTAGTATCCAGTAAAAAAGGCCATTACAAACATCGTCTAGTATCAAGGCCTTAAGTTTAAGATGGCGTTGGAAGACTTCAGAGGGTTTACACTTTTCTTCTATCCTAGATATGCCATAGTAGGTGGTTGCATGATCGTGAACATTCGTGATTCTAAATGTGTGGGCGGTAGTATTGATGAATAGCTTTAAAATGGATCGACAGATCTTGCCATCGTGATATTTGTTACTGCCGTTAATGTTGATGTCTGCAAAGTGTATATTCTGACATAAAACAATATTTGGCTGGATCACCATCTCATAATAGCCAGATTTAGGCCACGATATATAACTATTTATGTTTTCAAGGTTTATATCAACTGGTTCTTGAAGTTCCAATTTGTTATTGCTGCGATCTTCAGCAGGACATTTGATCCCACAACTCTGGACATGTTCTATCGACTTCTTACAATTCACACGTAGATACTTTTCAAGGATCTTTAACGTATCTAACAAGCCATCTTGTCTGTTCTTATACTCAATTGTGCTTTCGCCAACAGATATACCATATTTGGCATAGGCTTCGGGGGTGTAGTATTGGTTATACATGTCCTTGAGACACCAACATTCCTCGGTATAGACTTTGGAGGTTATTTTAGTAGCAAAGACGTGGGGAGTAGAATATAGTCCCTGGTGAAAATGCTCTAACGGGAATAGGTTCTTAGCATACTTAGGACCAATAACTATAATAGTATGAACATTGATGACAGGATTATTGCGTTCAATAAGACAGAGAAGAGTCTCCCAACGCAGTTCTAGAGTTATTTCGGAATGAATGTCTTGAGTAGCATTCTCGAGACCAGTTAATGTTAAGTCTTTCGATTCATTAATAAGAACAATCTTTTGGCATTGGATTTCTTGATTGTGGAGAGCTGTGAAATCAATATGGGTGCTGTCCTCAACATCATTTTCATAGCTCTCTGCGGTCGAGCCTGCGCAATAGGTTAGAAGACGTTTTCGATCTTGAATTACTGTTACTATCAGAGTGAGTTTGGCAACTAGCATCCGCTGGGACAACTTTAACCCAATAAGATCTACCATAGAGGGGTTCAAACAACAGACATTAACTGTGAGATTGCGATTTGGATTCGAAGCAGCACAATCGATTGTTTCCTGTAATTGGGTCAAACCACAATCTACTATACTAACCCATTGCGAATATCTCTCTATGTCATACTCTTCTATTCTAAGTTCCAGCTCCTTACACTCTAGCGCGTTGATAACTCGAGATATAGCTTTGGATCTGTGGGTTGACCTCTTGACATGCTCTACGTTATAGATAAACACTGCCTTTTCGGCTTTGATAACAACAATATCCTTCAATGTAGTCAAAACATTCTGTAATCTGCCTACTTCATTAATTTTGGGCATTGTGAATTTCAACTCTGGCTCTGGCCACAACACCATATACATATCAATGTTTTCGGTGGAGTTGGTTGGACTTAAAGCTACAGTCGAGTCCGAGGCCACCGCCGTTACTTCTTCAGTCATGTGCTTCTTAACATAGACGAGACACTTCATAGGATGAACCCAAAATCCAATTGCAGTTAGATCTTTAGCCACCTTAGATGATGCTTCCCAACCCTCCAGAGCTGTTATTTCCTGTCCAACAACGGCACTATCACCGCCTACTTTACTATCACACATACCATTACCACACGACCCTCTAACACTACCTAACACTAACACTAAAGAACACAATACAATCACGATTCTATATCTAATCGTCCGACCGCGATAAATCCTATTTCTATTCACACCTCTATTTATTTCAAGATAAGACATATCTTTCAAAACCAAAGTAAATTTATCTAAATGAAAACTGATCTCTCAAAAGAGTAGATAAGAAAATGGATTAATTACTTGGGGCCCTTGCTTTGTTGCCAATGCCATAAATGAACATGAATGATTCTTGTTAGACTGAATTAAGGAGAATAAACAAGAGTCTGTTAAGTTTATGTTAGTATTCTACAACACGGCTTCTTCTCAATAAACAGCATGTTATTACTAGTAAGTTTATTAACTACCCACACAACAACCAACCCAATATTACCCTGAAGAATTTGACGCAATGACAGTTTGAACTTTCCACATCTATTACTATCTATCTATTTATTTATCCGGTAAATAGTTCTACTTAGCCTAGTCCAAAACCTAGTATTCTTTACCCAGAGTAATGGACATACTGCCCAGCTTATTGAATAAACCTTTCGTTCGTTGTATCTCACTTATTGACCAAAGACAGTCAATAGAATCAAGCCAATTTCCAGTCCCAGTATAACTCACTCCAAACATAGGAGTCTTATCAACCACTGTTTGATCACCTTCTAACTTCTTCCCACTCACTAGTCCACCCACAAACACACCTATCTGGCCTAACACCACGTACAATGATAAAGATGCACTTGCTTCACCAACCGGCCGACATAAAGAATTAACTCCGGCTTTACCTTCCACCTTAATCCGACTGTCCATAAAGACTTTCCCAACTAGATCACCTCCACCTCCTCCACCCACTGACCACCAATTCAGCCAACTACTACTAAACCTTCCCAGGCCTAACTGGGCTTGGCCATAGCCCAGACCGCGTAAGTACGACCGACCATCTACCCACCACTTGCCGCCAGGCCAAGTACTTTCTCGTCCTAAATCCAAACGTAGCAACCGCTTAGTCCCAGCTAATACTTCTCGCCACTCCATCTTAGCCCAGGACTCGACCCGATTCTCCCGGCGCAGAACTTCTACACCACCAACTAGTCTTTGCCCGTTCTCAAAACCCGGCCGACACCATAGTCCCAAAACCCGTCCCAGTCCACTACTTACTTCCATCTCACCGCGCCACCAATGATAAACTGCCTCTTCACCAACTATCCAATTCTTATTCATTATACCTAGTCCCAACGATCCTTTCACACCATTCCGACTACCAGATACAGATACAGTATTGATACCCAGAATACTACTCCACCAATTAGGCACTTCAACCTTAGCAGTTACTTGTTTCTTCCCAGTCTTATCCATTCCCACTCCACCATTCATACGGTACTTAGTTCCCTGTAGAACTACTTCAGTAGGTCGACCTACTATTCTTCCCCACCAGCCAGGTTCCTCTACCCGTACTATCTTCCCCAGTCCCGAGATCGCTTTTCCAACCGCCACAAGTCGCTCTTTTCGACCACCATTCTTATCATTTCGATTAACAACTTCTTCAACCCATCTTCTAACCTCCGTATCAATCTTTCCCACCACTCTTATACCCCGATCCATAAATATTTTTATGCATCTCGCCGTTCTCCTTAACCTAGTTGCCCACCAACTTCTTATCGCCCATCTTTCCAAACCACTTCCCAATAATGGCAAGATCAAAAAGCGCAAGCAAGGCATGGTCAAAATCCTTTGCCAAATATGCAATACCCAAGTTAACAGTGTCGTATTCACTCGCCATCTGGAAAGATGCACTAAATAAGCTACTTTTCTATTTACACTCCCATCTTATTTCCAATCCAAATTCTCAATCCAAACTCAACCAAAACTCAAGGCAAAATCCGACCTAAACACTCACAAAACAACCAGTACAGACCATATAAACACTAATTTACTACTTATCTTCCATTCTTATCTAACTATCAGTTCAAAAACAAGCTAATCTCAGTCTAAATATACATTTTATATTTTATATATTACAATGAAGAAGGAACACGCTATCAAAAAGAAAACTCTGGCTGGTACTCGAAATACGGCTATCAAGTCCTTTTTAACAACTCCACCTTCTTATCTGACTTTACAACCAATTCATGTTTTAGTACTTTCTCTTTGCTTTATGGGAAACATTGTTTTATTGCATATAATCGGTCGGTTTGGAGTTCCACTCGGCTTACAAACAGTTATTAGTGCCATTGCCATTATAGCTGCACTCGTTGTTGGATATCTTGTTCAACGGCAATAAATTGAGTTAGTATTACGTTATGTTAAGTTAGTGTTGAGTTGGTATTAGATTAGATTGAGTTGGGTTAGGGTATTATTAGATTAGATTGAGTTGGGATTAGATAGAATTGGGTTGGTGTTAAATTGAGTTGAGTTGGTATTAGATTGAGTTGGATTGAGTTGAGTTAAGATAGTATTAGATTAGATAAGATGGGAGGTTGAACTACTAAACTTGAGTTGAGGTAGCAATGAGTTAGTACTGAGTTACTCAAATTGTGTCTTTGTAACAACTTCAGCTATTGATTTATTTTACTGCTACTAAGCTACTAACAGATTGCATCTACTAACTTAAACTAACAGAATACCAACTTAATTCTTGTTCTTTTAAGCTGCTAAGTCAAAACCAGCACAGATTGTGATCTGATTTGGGCTAGTATTCGTTTATGTAGTGTCACCCCACAACCACTTATTCTCCTTGGTTGATCGCATTAGTATTGTGTTAAGATTGTGTTAGTATTGTGTTGTGATTGGGTTAGTCGGGAATTCGAATCATATCAAATACCAACCCAATCTAACCCAATACTAGTCGGATTGTTAAAATTTAAGTATGACGTCATATCATCATCTACACTCAATAAATGGGTTAGTATGCCATATCAAGAATTATCACTGATTGGATTAGTACTGGGATAGTATATTATTATATCTCTTAAACTACATACTATTGTATCTCTTAAACAGCATATTATTGGTGTTTAGAATGAACAAACCAACTATCAGTCTTAAAAGTGCAATATGTACGGAAGCACCAACCACTCCAAAAGACCAAACTTACCATAACCTAAGCCAATACTACTACTACATTACTACTACTTTACCAACCCAATACCAACCCAATACATTACTAACCTAATACTAACATAAGACAATGATAAATAATATCCTAAAAAGGAAAGAATTTTTAAATATTAATGATAAGAATAATACTGCCTATCATAATCACAACCATAACTCCAATCCAATCCAACTCCATCCCAGACTAACCCAGCCCATTCTATTCCATTCTATTGGTTTGTTTGCATATAAAACACGATGCAAATTTTGGAGTATGAATTTCGACAAAGCAGTACAAGGAGCTTTAGATACGCTTAAACTAGGCAAAGACTTCAAGAAGAAGAACGAATTGCCTTTTACTTACACTGATTTCTTTGCTGAGAAAAGTAGTGTATTAGAAACTTTAGGACTTTCATGGCGGCAAAGAGCCGGATGTATCTTAGTTTGTTTAGTTCTCTCTTTCTTCTGCTTTACTAAGGCTTTAATGAGTACTCTAAGCTTCCTTGGATCTCCTGAGAGTGTTGTTTTTTACTATGCTTTATGTGGTTTCTTTAGTTTGATAGCCTTAGGCTTCTTTAGTGGGTTTAAAACAGTCTGTAAGAATGCTTTCTCTAAAGAGATGGTTGTTTATACAACTGTTTTACTAGCTAATTCAATCTTACTGACTATCTCTTCCAAAAGCTGGAATTACTTTATAAGGATGTTTATTTCAGTTGTTGAGTTAATTGGTTTCTTCTTGTTTAGTTATACTTACTTTGCACTTAAGCTGAAAATGGGTATGCGGGGTATATCTGCCTTTTCTATGTTCTAATACGTCCAGATTAGGTTAGTATTAGATTGAGTTAGTTTTGGTTTTGAATTAGATTAGATTGAGTTGGGCTTAGTTTTGAATTGAGTTTAGATTGGGTTTAGTTTTGAATTAAACTTTAATCCTACTCATCTTAATCTAAACTCAATCCAATCTTAATCTCAATCTAAACTCAATCTCAATCCAATCTAATACTCAATCTTAATCTCGACTAAATCAATACCAATCCGACCCAATCCTAAACCAACTCCACCTAACACAATCCTAAACCAACACAATCCTAACCCAACCCAAACAAATACCAAACTAACTCAACTCAATCCAACTCAATCCAAACCAAACTAACTCAATAAATATCTCGGATTTAATTTACTTTGTAATGGACTTTAGCTTTCGAGAACCAACATTAGAAGTCAAACGCGTGCAATATCGAGTTGTCCAGGGCAAAGATACAGTTGATACTTTGGAGACTTATTTGCGCGATCGGAATATGCAGGGATTATTGCGGGAATATATTAGACGGGGGTACTTGACTGGAGAGATGCCGATGGAGATGGAATCGGAGTTAGGGGATGCACCAGAAGAAGAGTTGATGGCCTGGGCGGAAAAGGCGGCTAAGGAGGTGGAGTATGAACAGTTCGTTCGGGTGACTAGATGGTTGTTTGAGAAAAATACGTCATTGGCTTTGAAGTTTGACGTGTATACGGCTGAGATAAGAATGTTGATTCTTTTAGAGCGGAATAGTGAGATTTCTTTACTGATCAAGAAGATAGAAGGATTGATTGAGTTGGGGATAGATTGGGGGAGAAGGAATAAGTTTAAGGTGTATAAGGGACTGGTGCATTTACTATCTCGGGAGTATCGAGAAGCATCAAGACAGTTTTCAGAATCTTTATCTACTTTTGAAGGGGAAGAGTTATTGACTTACTTGGAGTTAGTGCGTTACACTATTTTTTGTGGGATGATTTCTCTATCTAGATTGGAGATAGAGAAGAATTTGATTGATTCGAGTGAGATTTGTGAAGTGATTAAGGAATTACCTGGTGCTAGAGAGATGGTGCATGCATTTTATGAATGTAGTTATGCTAACTTGTTCTCTTGGCTGGCAGTCTTTTCTAAGTCGCTTTATGAAGATATGCACTTGCAAGATCGAGTGGACTACTTTGTTTATTTGGTGAAGGTACAGGCGTATGCTCAGCTTTTTATGAGTTATAAGGCGATTTCATTGGAGCAGATGTCTTTGATCTTTGGGGTGAGTACTGAGTATATTCATCGAGATATTGAAAGTATGATCTTAAGAGGAGATCTTCTTTGCAAGATCAACCACCAGAAAATGATGGTGTATAACACTCCGGCCCAGCCGAAGGACACAGTGGCTATCCAGGCCGAAGAGATCTCACATACCATCCAAAAGATGATCTCCAGTGAATAAATTAGGTCGAGTTAGTATTCAGTTGAGTTGAGTTAAGTTGAGTTAGTAGTTAGTATTGTGTCATTTGATATATCTCTACTTTAAATGAGTAAGTACAGGTAATGTAGATATTTATTCCTTACTGCTTTAGATAAGCCAATACTAACTCAGTCCAATCCAATCTAACACAATACAACCCAATCCAGTACCAAATCTGAATTATAATACAACTCAATACAATATCAACATAACACTAACTCAACCTAAACCCAATCTAAACAGAACACAACACCAATACAATATCAACATAACACTAACTCAACCCAACCCAATCTAAATACAATATCAATACAATCTAAACCCAACTCAACACAACTAAACACCAACTCAATTTCAAATTACATTAAAATTCCAATGTTTGCATTTGCTATTCCAATACTAACCTCCCCTTTATTCCCACTATCTAGACAAAATAATCATATTTTAATCTCTAACCGCCGGAATTTAACCAGGAAATATCATAATAAAGACCGAAATACACTTCAAAACACTCAAAACAATGCGTATCACAATACAAAAGCAACCGATCAAGACAAATTTTTTATGACGCTTCGGGAACAGATCCAAGAAATCCGAGAAAGAACTGGTCTTAAAAAGAAGAAACAGACTTTCACGTTAAATAGTGATTATAATACTTCAGATGAATTATTCTATGATGAAGTCCAACGTTCTTTTAGTCATTTTCAAACCGCCCATTTAGAGGCATATACTGAAAACAAGAAATATCTTGATAATTTACTAGGCGTAAGTAGTTGTGGATTTCGTCGGGACCGATTGAATGAACGAGATAATCTGGCCTTATCTAAAAAGATACGCAAAGTCTTACAAGTTTTAGCCCCTTATGCCAGGCACGAGTATGTATCTTGTTTAGTTGAATGGCTGTTACGTAAGTATGCTATTGATCGCCATGATTTTGAATCTTTACTGGTTTTTGCTTTGGCTGAAACTGAACTGATAAGCGAGATAATTACCAAAGGGACTAAAGCCAGAATAAGTGGCAGTGAAGTCTTTAAGCAGTTGGTTAAAGAGGGATACTCCTTAGTAAGTCTAGCTAAAGTTCTGGGTAAAAACGTCTCTTTCTCCTTAGGTGTCTTAGCTGTACTAGAAAGACTAGCTCGTGATGGAGAGAGTTTACGTTGGATTGTCTTTGTGGAGAAGGTTTTGAAATGTTTAGCCGAAAGAGAAATGTTTACTGAGGAAACACTTACTCTTTGGGTAGTTGGACTAATTAGATTAAGAGAAAAGTGGCTAAGTAAGTCTGAATCGGCTATGCGTAATGGGATTATCATGAGCATGGAAAGATCTTTAACTGAGATTGCTAGTTGTACCGAATTACACAGTGAGTACCAACGAGTGATTAGTTCATTTACTAGTAAGGAAAATCAGTCTGAAAGTAACCAAGTAGAGAGTGATAGTAATAATGTAAGTCCGATTAAATCTACTACTCCTTCTTTTGATGTACTTTATAAGGACTATAAAAGGACGGGTAAGTATCAAGTTGTTTTAGATCATTATCGGGTTGAGTTTATTAAGCAATTACTAGCTGATATTAAGGCTGATGGTTTAACTGGGATTAATCGTGATACATTTAGGACTATTTTAGTAGATAGTATTAGAGAAGATACAATGAACATTTTACCATTAGTAGCGGCTAGTGATGAACTTTTACTGGTTTTAGTTGAGTCGCCTAAGTGGAATATGCTTACTAAGAGTATTCCTGAGTTAGGAGCTTTACGTTTACTGAACTATCGTAGTCCGGAAGTCTTAACTAAGCGGTATATGACTTTATTACAGGGCTTAATGCCTAATTATGCCTTGGAAAGACGTTTACTAGATATGGCTTGTTCACATTTAGATATGAAAGGGGCTTTATCAGAAACAATAAGTATGGTTTCACCTAAGTTACTACAAGATAAGATTCAAAATGTCACTGACTGGAATGCAATGTCTTTATTGATTACAGCTGAGAGTCTTCCTCATATTGTGGACTTACTGTGTATGGGTACAATTGTCTCTGAATTTGATAAGTACTTGAGTTTAATCTATACCTTTCCTACTTATACTAAGATTGGCCACTACTTAACTCCTGAACAATGTGGGGTGGCTCGGGAGAAGGCTTTAGACTTCTTTGTTGAGCCGACTAAGAAGACGCCTATTCAGTACTTCTTTTTTGTTTTAGCACTGATTGCTGATTTAGATATGGATATTACGCATGTTATTAGTATTCTTAAGTTAGTCCCAATTACTTTGAAGCGGGAGCGCAAGCAAGTGCTTAAGGTTGTTTTTGAGTTTCTCTTGCAGAAAGGAGCCGCTTTGAATGGTGAAGATCTTTTAGCAGCTATTGAAGCTATTCCTGCTCAGGAAATGGACTTAACTCTTTCACTTTACTTCTTCCAAATATTACTTGATAAGGAAATTAGTAATTTTAACAAAGAGATTATCTTATCTATTATTACATTTAAGGAAACAACGGTTAAAAAGATGACTAATTACTTGATTGAACATAAGGTTGATTTACTTAAACAAGTCTTTGTAAAGTATGCTGGAACGATCAAAAGTGATGATTTATTACTGTTACTTAACCATTCTCGGATGGATATTGTTTCTCTTTTAGTTATTAGCCGGATTGATACTCTTTCCTTAGCTACTAAACAGCGTATTGTTTATGAAGCGATTAAAAGAAAGGAAGAGAACTGTCCGGAGTTGTTTAATGCTTTAGTAGATAAGATTCCTCTTCTTCTTTGGCAAGAGTGTACTGTTGATGCACCGGTGCCCCATTTAGCAGCTGTTTTAGATCTGATTGTTCAACATCCAAAGAGTAAGTTTTCAGTGCCACTAGCTCTTAGTGCGCTTATTAAGTGTCGACGAGCTATGCTTCCAGAAGAGCAGCTTAAGCTTTGGCAAGGTCCTATCCTGGCCCAAACGGAAACCTTTATCTTACTAGCGCAGAACATTATTCAGAAGAAAGACTTTAGTATTTCCAAAACACTGATTACGCGCACACTAGATAGTTGTACTGATAGTACGGATTTGTTACTAGGTGTGATTAATAGTGGTATAACTGATCATTTCATTCTGGGCGAACTTCTTAAGCACCAGCCTAATGGTAGATCAAGAGCTTTGCTCATTCGTACTCTGCTGACTAACCATCCGGAGCAGCACTTACACCTCTTCCTGGGTTTACTCCAGGACATGAAATCAGTAGCTATCAGATCTACTGTTCAGGTTAAACTTCCCTATTTAGTTAATGTGCTTCTATCTCTGCCTGATAGTGAGGCTAATGTTGTTTCTCATCTATTTGCTAATCTCATTCGCCGTGAGACTAATATTCTTTCTCCTTATCTTAACAAAATTATCTCTCTTATCAAACTGACCAAAAAAAGAACACTTTTGCAACCATTATCTCTACTGGATATTCCTCCTTTCATTTCGCATCTAGCTAATACACCCCAGGACATCACTATTCTTAGTGAGTCATTAAAACTCCGCCTGACCGATCAGGAATTAGAAGAAGCAGATATACAACAAGTCTTAGCCTACTACCTCAAGAACCTTGAACTAGCCCCAACAGCTACGGCCTTAGTTAGCTTGTTCCCACAACTAAGTACACCTAGTCATACTTGGCTATCTATTCTGAAAAAGACAAATGGCTTATCTGATCTTTTCATTACTCTACTTGATCGTATGCTTAAACAGGACCAGAATGGCCAATGTGTTCGCTCTTTAGATCTTATCTATACTAAGCTAGAATCTCTACTTTTATCTGAACTCCACCAGCCAACTACTCTCCTGCCTAAACTCACTAGAATTCTAGCTAAGTACTACTCTTATGAACAAGGTACTATGGTCCGTACTACTGATATAACTACTATTATTCTGACGCAGCTTAGCTCAACTCAATCTTTACAAGCCCAACTTACTAAACTCCTGGCTTGTCTTTTCTCATCCCGAGCCCAAAACCTTCCTTCTGAAGCCGAAGAGATCAATCTTATCTTGCTCAAACAACTAGTCAGTGCACCTTCTAAATCCGGTCTGTTTAAGGCTCTAGCAGCTATTTACCGCCGGAACAGTGAGTTCATGAGCCGAATTCTGGGCCAAAGTGCCCCATACTTTGCCATTCTTCTGGAAAGCCCCAAGCCCAGCACTCGTGTACGGGCCGAATCTCTTATGAAGCTCATTGAGCGCACGACCGGCACTACTCCCTACAACTATCTCTAAATAGGACCAAACAACATCTCATCTAGACTATTCAAGGGTTTTCAACCACAATAAACAATCAGCAATCTAATCTTTATTTGTTTTTAATCTATTCACTAGATAATGGCCAGTAAATAGATACTAGCAATCATTGGTCAAGATAGTACTAAGCCAATCAAAAGCACGCCTTAATTAAGTTTGTATTAGGTTAGTAGACAGGATATGACTGTATACGATCAAATATCACATTAAATCAAAACATAGATAAGATAGACAAAATAAGATGGGTAAAGCATTCGAATGATAAGTCTATGACTATCGGACCAAGCAACATACATAGATGATTATGATTGTTAAAGGAACTGTGTTAGTATTAGGTTAGTATTAAGTGGAGTGGGTTGAGTTGGGTTGACTTAGTATTGAGTAGACTCAATTGAATGGACTGAATTGAAAACGAATGGTGATCATATGACAACACTACACCTTTGTCAATCCTTATCTCAATAAATACTAACCCAATACTGACCCAATATATTCTAATTCGACCTAAATAATCCAATATTAACCACCAAAACCAAACAAACCAAGCATAATTCAAGTCAAACTCAATCCAAACCCCACCCAAAACCATCTAAACACTCTGCAATCTAAATCTTAACCCAATACAACCCAATTTTTTATGGGCAGTGAAGAGCAGCAGAATCTCCATAAGCGCATTCAGCATCTTCAAAACATGTTAGGCGAAATAAACAGATATCTACAAAGCTCAACCACCAAACCTCCAGCCATGGTCTCTCGGCTGTTAGAAGAGAAGGCTAGAATCACTTCTCAGCTGCGCGAACTCAATAACACTTACACCCATAAGGCTGAGGAGGCCAATCGCTTTGGCCGGTCTCTTTCTAGTCTTTATAACGTTGCTCGGAAAACGGACAAAGTTCGAGATATGCTGTATGCAGATAGTGGAGGACAAGATCCATTAGACACACGAGTGGAGATAGAGGAGATACTTAAAGAGATGGGAGTAGATACCGAGATAGATAGTCAGATCAAGAAGATTCTACTAAGTAGTGCCGATATATTTATAGATAATCTGATAGCAACTGCTTGTTCAGTTGCTCGGAATAGAGAGGCCTCAGAGGTTACAAAAGAAGATATCATCTTTGCCATGAAGATGGAGCGAGGCACTGAGTTGTATAGTACTTACCGCCCTAAAAAGGCCCGCGAGCCAGACAAAGAGCATCTTAAGCGGCTACAGATGATCAAAAAGGATCAGAAGAAGTCGTCAGTTCAGAGCAAATAAAGGGTGTTTGAGTTGAGTTAAGTTTTGATTTGAGCTGAGTTAGTTTTGATTTGATTTGAGTTGAGTTAGTTTTGATTTGAATTAAGTTAGTTTTGATTTGATTTGATTTGGGTTGAGTTGAGTTGATTTGGTTTGTGCTAAGTTAGATTAGGTGTTGATTTGATTAGTTTTGATTTGGTTTGAGTTGAGTTGTGCTAAGTTGAGTTGTGCTAGGTTAACTTAACTTAAGTTAAGCTGTGGTATTGGGTTAGCATTATGGTATGTGGGTTGGGTTGTGTTGAAGTAAAATAGTACTAAGCCTAAGGCCAATCATACCACAGGTGTTTATTTATAGACCCTCCTTTCTGGGCCTGGTTAGGCGCATAGGTCTTGGAAGATGGGCGTGTATGTGGCTATACAGGTTTGTTTGCGGTTAGATAGAGTTGTAGTTGGTTGGTAGATCTATTTAACTCGGGGGTCGGGGTTAGCCTTAGACTCTTTCTTGGAGGACTCCTTTTCTAAGGAAGTTTTGGACTTGTTGGCGGAGTTGCTTCCTTGCTTGGCGGCAAAGGCGGCCATCTCCTCGCTGGTTGCGATAGGCTTTCGGCAACGCTGGCAAGTTTTACGGCCTGATGCTTTTTGATTGGAAGCTGACTGGCCTTGGCTTTGGCTCATGGACTGGTTGGTGCTGTTTTGGTTGGCTTGGCGTTCTTCTAGAGATTTAGTCTCTTTAGTGGTTGTTTTGGTCACACCACTGTCTTGCTGTTTGCTGCCAGATTGGCCTCTTTTCTGTCCACAACTCTGGCAGTTGGCGTCGACTTTGTGTGCATTGTTCTGAGTTTCTTGGGCGGCCTTGGACTGACTTTCTAAGGCTGTTTTAGAGGATGTGCCGTTGGATTGGTTCTTCTTGTAAGCGCAGCTACCATCCTGGCAGTTGTGCTTGGTGTTGGCTGAGGCTTCCTTGGACCGGCTTTCTTTGGCTTCTTTGGACATGGCTTCTCTGGACTCGCTTTCTGAGGCAGTGCCGTTAGATTGGCTCTTTTTGTAGTCGCAGCTACCATCTTGGCAGTTGTGCTTGGTGTTGTCCGAGGCTTCTTTGGTCCGGCTTTCTAAGGCTTCTTTGGAGGTTTTGTCGTTAGATTGGCTCTGTTTGTAGCCGCAGGAGCCATCTTGGCAGTTGTGCTTGGCGCTGTCTGAATCTTCTTTGGACTGGTTTTCTATAGCTGTTTTAGAGGTTGTGTCATCGGATTGGCTCTTTTTGTAGTCGCAGGTGCCATCTTGGCAGTTATGCTTGGTGTTGTTTGAGGCTTCTTTGGACTGATTTTCTGAGGCTTCCCTAGATCGGCTTTCTTTGGATTCTTTGGCTTCTTTGGACTGGCTTTCTAAGGCTGCTTTGGAGGTTGTGTCATCGGATTGGTTCTTTTTGGAGCCGCAGGAGCCATCTTGGCAGTTGTGCTTGGCGTTGTCTGAATCTTCTTTGGACTGGTCTTTTGACACATTGTCGTTTTCAGCAATAGATTCTTTGGAGTTCTGGCCGTTCTTACTATTTAAAGCGAATTGAGTGGACTTGTCGGCTCTGGCGTTAAAGTCATCTCGGCTCTTTTGTTCATTTAGTTTGTCTTGGCGCGCATTATCATCTTGCTGGTTGTTTTGCAATGAGTCTTTGGAGTTGTTATCGTTGACTGCATTCAAAGCATTAGCTACGTCTCGGCTATCTCCGCCTTCCATCTGGATGCGGTTGTGGATGTTGTTGACTTGGTTGTGTCTCTTCTTGTTATTCCGAGTTCGGTTGTTGTTAATAACGGTTTTTCCTGGCTCATAATCACTCACACCGTCATCTACATCTTGCGGTTGGTCAGTCTGGTCTTTCTTGTCCTCCTGACCTACCTCGACTTTCTTCTTCTGTTCTTGGGCCTTAGTAGTATCGGTCGTGGAGTCGCTTTTTTGGGCAGATTTGGCTGGCTGGCCGTTCGGTCCGGGGACCATATTGACGTCATTGTGAACATTGTTCTTAACATCTTTTAGGTCTTCGTTGTTAATAGTTTCATTGTTGTTAATCTCAACGTTTGGGCCGGATCGGCGCTTCTTTTTCTTCTTATCAGCGGCAGCTTTGCTTCCAGGGTTAGCGGCTTCTTCTTGCTTAGCTTTCTCTTTAGCCTTTTCTTCTTCGGGAGTACCTTTGGCTTTATCAGCAGTTAGATTTTGCTTAGCATCGGTAGTTGGTGCGTTGGGAGATTTGCCCTTGGCGTTTCCTGGAACCATTTCAACGTCGTTGTTAACATTGTTTTGGACATCTTTTAGATCTTCATTGTTTTCAACATCATTGTTATTGATTTCTATTCCACCTTTCTTGTTCTTCTTGTTCTTGCGAATAGGCTTTCCTTTTGAGTCGAGCTTTGGCTTTCCATCCTTGTCAAGTTCAACATCGTCCTTTTTAAGAGACTTACCATCAGCACCGGTCAATGGCTTACCATCTTTGTCAAGTAAAGGCTTACCGTCCTTGTCCTTAAGAGGCTTACCGTCCTTGTCAACTAAAGGCTTACCATCTTTGTCAAGTAAGGGCTTACCATCTTTGTCAAGTAGTGGCTTGCCGTCTTTGTCGAGCTTTGGCTTGCCGTCTTTGTCAAGTAGTGGCTTGCCGTCTTTGTCAAGTAGTGGCTTGCCATCCTTGTCAAGTTGAGGCTTACCGTCCTTGTCAACTAAAGGCTTACCGTCCTTGTCAAGTAGTGGCTTACCGTCCTTGTCAAGTAGTGGGTTGCCGTCTTTGTCGAGTAGTGGCTTACCATCCTTGTCGAGCTTTGGCTTACCATCTTTGTCGAGTTGAGGCTTACCGTCCTTGTCAAGTAAGGGCTTACCATCTTTGTCAAGTAGTGGCTTGCCGTCTTTGTCAAGTAGTGGTTTGCCGTCTTTGTCAAGTAGTGGCTTACCATCCTTGTCAAGTAAAGGTTTGCCATCTTTGTCGAGTTGGGGTTTACCATCTTTGTCAAGTAGTGGCTTACCATCCTTGTCGAGCTTTGGCTTACCATCTTTGTCAAGTAAGGGCTTACCATCTTTGTCGAGTTGGGGTTTGCCGTCTTTGTCGAGTTGAGGCTTGCCGTCCTTGTCAACTAAAGGCTTACCGTCTTTGTCAAGTAGTGGTTTGCCGTCCTTGTCGAGTTGGGGTTTACCATCTTTGTCAAGTAGTGGCTTACCGTCTTTGTCGAGTTGGGGTTTACCGTCTTTGTCAAGTAAAGGTTTGCCATCCTTGTTGAGTTGGGACTTGTCGGTCTTAGCGTCTTTGTTCTTCATCACTGGATTGCCTTTTTCGTCAAGTTTTGGGTTACCTTGGGCGTCTAGTTCAACATCACTCTTGTTCAATGGCTTGCCATCCTTGCCTTTAAGAGGCTGGCCATTTGGTCCTAAAGCAGGCTCATCAGATTCACCAGCCTTTTTGGCCGATTTGTCCTCACCTTTACCATCCTTCTTCGTATCCGGGTTCAATGGGTCCTTGGGGGCTTTGTCATCCTTAAGGTCCTTGCCATCTTTGTCCTTCTTCGCATCCGGGTTCAATGGGTCCTTGGGGGCTTTGTCGTCCTTAAGGTCTTTGCCATCTTTGTCCTTCTTTGCATCCGGGTTCAATGGGTCCTTAAGGTCTTTGCCATCTTTGTCCTTCTTACCTTCTGGACTCAGTGGGTCTTTGGGGGTTTTGTCGTCCTTGTCCTTAATAGGCTCGCCGTTTGGTCCTAGATTAGACTTGTCCTCAACTTTACCATCCTTGTCCTTCTTAGCATCTTTGTCTTCTTTCTTACCACCCAATGCCAGAGGGTCTTCATTCTTCTCATCCTTCTTCTCTCCATTCTTCTCATCCTTCTTCTCATCCTTCTTCTCACCAATCTTACCTTCCGCGTTCAATGGGTCAACATTACCCTTCTTCTCCTTATCATCCAATAAACCGTCTTTCTGGCCGTCTTTCTGGCCTTCAGGAGCCATTGGGTCCCTGTCTTCCTTCTTACCACCTAAAGCTAGAGGGTCTTTCGACTCGTCGTTCTTCTTGTCTTTCTTACCTTCTAGGTCAAATGGATCCTTCTCTTTCTCCTTCTTCTCTTCGCCTGACTGATCTTTCTCTTTGGGCTCGGTTTGGTCCAATAGCTCTTTCGTACCCGCATCTTGGCCGGGAGCCAATGGGTCCTGGGTAGGAGGGCCATTTGGATTCTCGGGGGAAGATGGCTTGTTCTCATCCATGCCAGGAAGACCACCAGGTGGTGTTTCTTTGCCTTCCGGACTTGATTCTGAGGGGCTAGGTGCTGGAGGCTGGCCTTCTGTAGGGCTGGGAGCTAGTGGGTTGGGTTCTGCACCCATTTCACCAGCTGGCGCTTCAGCTTTGGGCTCTTCACCCGGCTGTGCACCACCCAATATAGAACCTGCGTTCATATCACCTTCTGGAGCTGTTGTCTGTGCAAGCACTTGAACTGTTACTAACAATCCCAATGCAAAGATATATACCTTCATGCGCTTCGTCATACCCTCAATATCGCCCGGCTATTTATGCTCTTGTTTCCTGATTTTTGATTCACCTTGTCGCCCCTTATCAATCAATACAGATAAAAGATACTCATTGGTCTTTATTTATCACAACACGACTAGTAGTAGAAAACATGCTCAGCATTCTTCTTTTCCACTATCTTAGCATAGGCCGCTTCAAAGTCCTGTTGCATAACCACATACCGCCCATTACGTACTGCTAGCATTCCTGCTTCTTGACACACTGAGTTAATGTCGGCCGCCGATAACTTATCCGAACGCAAGACCAAACTCTCCAAATCCACCTCTTCACTCAAACTCATCTTCCCTGTTATTGTGGCAAAGATAAGCCGCTTCTGCCGCCGATCGGGCACTGGGAACTCAATCTTCCTATCTAATCGACCCGGCCTAAGTAAAGCTGGATCGATTGTATCGGCCCGATTAGTCGCCATAATCACCTTAACATTAGTGTTCTGATCAAATCCATCCATTTGGTTCAATAACTCAATCAAAACCCGCTGTACTTCTCGATCGGCACTAGTAGCCGCATCAAATCTCATCGTAGCAATCGAGTCCACCTCATCAATAAAGATAATTGAAGGCGCTTTCTCAATAGCCAGTCTAAAGATATCTCGCACCATTCTCGGTCCTTCTCCTAAGTACTTCTGCACAAACTCAGATCCATTCACGCGAATAAAGGTAGCCTTAGTATGGTGGGCAACGGCCTTCACTAGCATAGTCTTACCCGTACCTGGTGGCCCATAAAGAAGAACTCCTCGAGGTGGGTCTATACCTATCTGCTGGTAGAGTGCTAAATCAGTCAGTGGCAACTCAATTGCCTCCCTTATCTCTTGTTTTTGACTATCTAACCCTCCAATATCAGCATAGCTTACATTAGGCCGGTTTTCCTCCCCTAGAACAGAGAAGGTATTATCGGCCTCTGGTGGTAAAACATCAACTAAGGCACTAGAATGTCGATGCAGAGCTACACTCGTACTCGGCTTCAATAACTCTTTGTTGACTGTCGAAAGAATCTTCACTACAGAATTAGATCCAGCCGTACTACCGATAATAGCCGTATCTGCATCGATTGCCTCCAAAAAGTGGCCCATAATTAGTGGGACACTCTTAACTCGTTCAATTGCTTGTTGTGACTTATGCAACTCTTTCTTTAAAGACTGAATCTCTTCCAGAATATACTTCTCTTTCAAATTCACTAACTCTAAAGCCCGTTCTATCTCTGTGCAACGATAGTACTCTAAAGCACTAGTTCTTTCTACCAAGTGTTCATCACCTCGTTCAATCGGATTCTCAGACTGCATACTGGGCAAACAAAGAATGAATAAATAAATAGAGAAGAGATGGTTCTGGGCTGATAAGAGCACGTGATTGAGTTAGGATTAGCTTGGGATTGTAGTGGTTAGTATTTGGGTTAAGTTGGGTAGGTTGTGGTCGGTGAAGTAGGGTTTGAGTTAGGATTTGAGTTGCAGAGGTAGGATTGAGTTGGTCTTGGGTTAAGTTGAAGTTGAGTAGATAAAGAATGTAGTAGTATTATGATGGTATTATGATAGTGTTATGGTGTTGTGTGTCTTGATAAAGGGTTAGTATTGGGTTATTATTGGGTTTAGGTTATGTTTATTGTGTTTTTGCTGGTTTGGCTAATCTTTGTTATAAGACGGAGATTGGAGTTTTTGATGGTTAATAAGCAAGATGGGGAATTTGCGGGGATGAAAAATCTTTGCGAGAGCGATGAGCAACGGGTAGCGAGTACCGTAAATGTGCAACAAGCACTTCGTGCGACCAAATTAGAGTTTTTGAAAGCTAGATTGCCACCGGCTCTTTTAGGTCTGATTTTGTACCTAATGGATGCTTTGACTATTGGGGAGAAGGGTTTAGTTTATCCAGGAGATAGTTCTTCTGTTTTACCACGTTTAAGTACTTTGCTTTTTATCTTGGGCAGTTGTGTATCCCAACTGGTTTTCTTTTGTTTCTCGTCCTTTTCGATTGGATTGATTGCTTCTTCTATCTCTGAGAGTTTTGTGGCCTTTCAAGGCATATCTAAAGATCTTTATGATACGGGTTTAAGAGAGGCTAGTCATTTTTCTACTTTGATGGCTTGTATTATGATTAGTACTTGGTTAACGGCTATTGGTTTTGGTATTCTTTATTGGGTTGGGGCGGAGAGTTTAATGCGCCGATTGCCCTGTGAAATTGGTATTTCTTTGTACTTTGTGATTGGTTGTTTTTGTTGTCGTTTTGGGAATGACGTGGCTAATTTAGTATTTGCTGGCCGCTGGATGTACTTGCTGGGGTATAATGTGTTTGCGATTGGATTATGGGCTGCTGGCCGGTTCTTAGCGCAACGAGTACCTAGTTTAGGCCGGTATATTTACTTGCTCTCTTTATTAGTACTAGTGCCTTTGGGGTACTTGGGAATGTGGCTGGTAGGTGGAGGTTTGAGTTATTATCGGGATATTGGGTTTTTACCAGAACTACCTAAGGATGGAGCTCTGAGTAGCCATTGGGTAAGTAATAGTTCTTTTAGGTTGATCGATCTGTCCGTTCTTCTTAAGCAACTACCATCTTTACTGGCTATTGCTGGTCTTAATCTGTTGCATTTTTCAGTTAATATTCCGGCTATTCAGAGTAGTACGGATACGCGATGTTCTATTAAGAAGGAATTACGAGCGAATGCATTTTCTAATATTATAACTGGAGTGTGTGGTGGGTATCCTTCTTATGTGGTTTCTTCTTCTACTATTGCTATTAATACTCCCGATCGGTCCCGTAAGATTGATATGATTATTGTGGCTGTTTTGTTTCCGGTTGTGTTCTTTGCTTCTAGTTCAGGCTTGCTTTATGTGCCCAGGATGTGTTTTGATCTCTTATTAATGCTAATTGGCTTGGATATCTTATGGGGTTCAGCTCAGGAGATCAAACAAGCTGGCTGGTTCTGTGCGGTTTTAACTCTTGGGGTAGCTCTGATTTCTCTTTGGACTGAGAAGTTACAACTAGGGATGGCCTTTGCCCTTCTAGGTGTATCTAGTCGTTGGGTTTATTTAAAGGCCTCGCCCAAGCGCCCAGATACCGGTCAAGAAGACACCTTAACTATCACCACTATTCCCCTCTAATATCTATAACATAAATCACAACTATATTAAGTTAGTTTAGTATTTAAGTATACCATTAGTTGTCAATGGTTAGTCGTTGGTTAATAAAGCATTATAATAGCATTAGTATACTAATTCAATACGAAGTTCATCTTAACTAATACATCCTCTATTAAAGAGATTCCTTGGGATAACTTGGGATAAGTATGTATTGGTTGAGTTGAAATAAGATGACGTCATATTAAGTTGAGTATTTGTATTTGTGTTGGTTTGGGATTGGTATTTGTGTTAGGTTTAGTATTGGTATTCGTGTTACTTTAGTACTACTAAGTAGTGTGTAGCTTACCAATAATCAGGTTGATCGTATTAGTATTAGTACTACAATTAGTTCTACAATTAGTTACTTATCTGCCTTTATTTAAGTTAAGTTGAGGTGAGGCGAGTTAAGTTGAGTTGGTTTAGTCTTGGGTAAGCTCATCCGGATGGATTTGTTCGCCCTGGTTGAGAAGGTTAATGAATTCCTGGGCTTGGTGGTACTCATTTACTAGTTCTTCCAATCGGCGGTAGTCGATGTTGTACATTTCGGCGGCTTTAGCTATTTGTTGCTCTTGTACGTGACTGGGAGCCTCTGCCAACTGCTGTATAATTTGCTTATAGTCAGTCTCAGCCTGTTCAGCTTGGATAAATAAGAAGGAAATAACAAGAAGAAGTAGATTGAAGATCTTCATGCTAAAAAGTTTGAGATTAGCCCAGAATTTTACATGCAGAAACACAAGTTGGTATTTGGAGTTGTTTTTAGTCGTGGTGGAATTATCCGATGTGAATTTGGTAAAGAACCAGTCTATTTAAAACAGTTTATTGAAAGAATGCCGTTAAGTAGTACTGTAGGCACAATTCAGGTAAGAGATGAGAGTGTTTCTTATGTATCTGGAGTTAAGAATGTATATCTAGTTGTGTATAAGAACCGCGAAATTGAAAGGGAAGTAGTTGACGTATTAGAAAGGACTAAAGAAGAGATGGAGAGTAGTAAAGATGGCCGAATTCCTGCTGGAATCTTTAAAGATGAAGATAGTATTGGTAATGGTAGAGATAGTATTGGTAATGGTAGAGATAGTATTGGTGTTAGTAGAGATAGTATTGGCAATAGTAGTATTATGCGTAATAGTAGAGAAGAAAAGGTAGATGAAGATTCAGATCCAGAAGAAGAAAGTCCTGGGTGGGCGCAATGGAGTCGGCCAAGAAGACTAATGGAGTACTGGAGTGGTAAGCAGGTGAGTGAACGGGATTTACGCGATCATTTACTGGGTAGGAATGTTCCCATGAATTTAAGCCAAAAAATAGCTAAGGAGACTTTGGAGTTTGCTAAGGATGATATTAGTGACTTGACTGAAAAAGATAAGATTAGAAAAGGTCTTAAGAAAACATTAGCACAATTAGTGCCTATCTTATCTCCTGAAAGTATTATAAGTGAAATATCTCAACGTAAACAGAGCGGTAAAGGTCCTTATGTTTTCTGTCTAGTTGGTGTAAATGGAGTAGGTAAATCAACAACTTTATCTAAGCTTTGTTTGTGGTTGTTAAAGAATAACTTTAGAGTTTGTGTAGCGGCTTGTGATGGGTTCCGTAGTGGAGCGATTGAGCAATTGCGTAAATATGTTGATAGATACAAGACTAGAGGTCATGCTATTTCTCTTTTTGAACGTGGTTATGGGAAGGACGAGTCAAATATTGCTAATCAGGCGATTAGATTTGGAAATGAGAATAATTTTGATGTCGTGCTAATTGATACGTGTGGGCGTATGCCGAGTAATCAGAGTTCAATGACTTCTCTTTCTAAAATGATTCGAGTTAATCGGCCTAATAAGGTGCTTTATATTGGTGAGGCTTTAGTGGGTTCAGACTCGATTGAGCAAGTTCGTACTTTTAATGCTTATGTGGAGAAAGCTAGTGTTGGTAAGGCTATTGATGGGATTGTGGTTACTAAATGTGACACGGTGGATGAGAAAGTTGGCACAATAATAAGTTTGGCCCATACAGTACACAGACCGGTCGTTTTTATTGGAGTGGGCCAGAAGAATGTTGATTTGTTGCCCTTTAGTCTTGATGGCTTATGCACAGCCCTTTATATGTAAGACAACTAGTTAGTTTAGCAGGTATAGTTACTTGATGGTCTTAGGCTGAGGAGAAGATTTGTCTTGCTCGTAGATGACATCATGGTATACGATGGAAGGATGGTGGGTAAAGATGGAGAGAGTAATTTGGTACGGTGTGCCTGGAATGTATTCTGGGGGATGGTTTCTGCTAAGAAGAGCTTGAATGTCTTTGAGATGGTAGCGCAGATCGATAGTGTAACCATTGAGTTCGGAAAGGCGCAGACAATGGGTGGTTAATAAGACTCCGCTGATGGAAACAACAATGACTGTGTCCTTGGTGGCATCAGAAATAAAGAGGGTTTTACGAGTACGACGGTCAATACTTTTTGTAGATCTATGTTTGTTATAGTTGTCAGTAAAGATAGTGGTGATGAAGATAAGAAGGCCATCTTTGATTTGGAAAGTTCGGGGGTGTTCAGGGATAGATATTTTGACTGGTTGATCACTGAACAGGGATAGGTCAAAGGCCGATCGGGCGATAGTGCCTAGGAAGTGGCCGGGTGGGTAGTTGTAAGTACTGCCATTTGTATAGATTATATCTTCAGTGGGATTGGGAAGAGGACCATGGAGAGGTACCAGTGGGTTTTGCACTATAGCTTCATTAATAGCCGGATAGAAGACAGATGCTGATTGGTACTCAGTTAGCATAGGCAGGTTTTTCTTGATAATAGCTGTACGGAAGCGAATAATACCGTAAATGTACTCTAATGGAAACTCTTCTAGATTATGGGGAAGAAGTTGGTTGTAGAAATCAATGATAGAACTACTGATGGATTTGCAGTAGTTACTGTGTTCTTCTCCTAGGAAATAAAGGGCTAGAATCAAGAAGCGATGGTAGTACTGGCGATGGTACTCGGAATAGGCATTGTAAGCTCTTAAGAACTCCCGGGAGACCGTCTTAGCTAGTTTTCCTTTGGCCGATCGGAAGAAGGTCTTCTTGATTTTGAACCAAAGAGCCTTTTCGATATCCTTGGTGGATTTTAGAGTGCTAATCGCATCTTTAGCTCGTTGCTTGAGTTTGAGGAGCTTTTTGTCTTCGGTCTTTTGCGAGAAGGGTGGGAAGACTACAATTGTTCGTTTGAGAGCGCGAAGTTCGGTATCTAAGAATCTGGCCGCATAAGGATCGAGGTCTTGATTGGCTGCTTCTACTTCTTTCTCATAGGAGTTGACATCCAGGCAAATATTGTTCTCACGGTACTTGGCCAGGGGATCGTACTTGACAAAGATGTCTTCATTTACAATCGGAAAGTTGTTGTAGTCACCCAGGGAGTAGACTCGTTTAAGGATATCTGAGTGCTGGCAGTAAGATGACATAAATCTTTGGTAGAAAGAAGGACCCATAGTTGATCTTTCAATCGATTTGACCAAATCATCAGAAAAGACACTCATGAGTGGTTTGAGACCCCGTAGTCCAAAGGCCAAACCTTTAGAAGAGTACATTTCATCCTGAGTCGTGGATATCAACAGGAAACTATACCCGCCCAGCAAAAACGCCATAACATTAGCAGCCCCACCATAAACCACACTAAAAACATTAAGACTATAAGTGACAGCAGTGACTCCTACTGTTCCCACCGCGGTTTTAGCAGCCTCCTCATTAAGAGCTATTTGCGCTTGAGTAGCTGGTGATGGTGTCAAAATGGATCCAAAGACATCCAATGCCGTATCACCTGGGCGACTCTCAACAACAGATGAAATACCACTGCCCGCCTTAGATAAAGCCTTGTCAACGGGTGAATCCAGCCCAAATAAACCCTTTATGAAGTCCGTGATCACACCCCATATCCAATCGATCTGTTCAAACACCCAAGTAATAATCGAAACTAGTCCATTAAGAACAGTACCTAACTGTTGGAAAATCAGCAGAACACATTTAGACAGATAATATAATACCGAATCAATCGCAGTCACCACATAATAAATCAGTTTAAGCGCTTTTTGAGTCAAAGATAAGGTGTCCGCACTTGCATTTACATCAATTCCTAAGAAACTCATCAAATCATCAGCCAGCTTTTTAGGCCGGAAGAAGTTAAAGGCGTCTGTCACCACCGAAACAATCCCTTCTTCAACTTTTTGTACTCCAGTAGTAAGTTTAGTGAATACTGGTGCTGTAGTAGCATCAACTTTAAATTGAGTATCACCAACCTGTAAAGTCACACCAGAACGAGCGGCCAAATAGTGAAAAACAACAAATATAATCAAGGCAAGCACAAACAGTACCTTAGTCAAGTTAACCAAAAAAACCATCAACCGTCTTACACTACGAGAAGTCAGTGCGCGATAGATAGGTTCTAAAAAAGGGTTGTTCTTAATCTTCCTAACTGCCCAGACTCGCAAGGGTCGACCAAGATTAAGAACCAAGAATGAGAAAATAGGAAAGATAATCAGCATTATTGGAAGCATATTAAAAGAGAATAGGACTAGAGTAGTTAAGATAACATAATGCAAGTAATTGGAGAGACTGGTTTTCAAAATAATCTTCTCTATACCTACAGTACCTAATACAATAAAGGTTATAGCTAATCCGGCAATTATAGTTGCATTAATATCCATTGTATTTCCAATTCCCATCGTTCGCAAACAAGTAGCAAATGCTCCCACTCCACAAACAGCAGCAGCAGGAAAGAATCCAAAACCTCTAATCAGAAAGGAGAACACTATCGGGATAATAATAAACAACGGTGAGAACCCTAGGGCTCCAAATAGCATAATACCGGCCAAACCAAAAACATGCTCTACAACTGCTAACTTTTCTCGATTAGTACGATCCCAGGTCATTTTATCGCGCTTAAAGTACAGTATAACCCCAAAAAGACCGATAACAGTAAAGAGAGTTGTGAAAAGAAAGACATCTACCAATCTACTAGTCGCAAAAAGCGAATGTATCTGAATTTGCGCATCATTAACCGCCAATTTAAAGTAAGTCAGTATCCCAAGGACTAGAATGGACCAGTTAAGGCCTTTAAAGGGTAATCCGATCCATTTCGTCCACGAAATCTTATCTTTTGTTTCTAGTGATGCGTTACTCATCTATAAATGATTATAAAATTTTCAATTCTATAATACTAATACGAACCAACCAGATTATTTCCTAAAAAGGAAATTTATTTGTATATTAAAGATATAATAATTTGGATTGGTTTCTGAGCTAATAATTGAATAGATTAAGTTTTGATAATGTTATAAGTTCGTTGATAGATATTTATTTGTCTTTGGAAGGTTTAGGATTTAGATTGTGAAAATCGACTTAAAGATCTATCAAAACCCTAATCTAACAATAAAGTGTAGAAGACCAAAGTTATCTCTAGTCAACAAGATTCACTCCTCGCCCAGAACGTTAAACTATTCCAATTCGTTCCATTTCGACCAATGAGCTGATTTAGTACTCCATACCTACACAGACAAAGGACTCGGAAAGAATAGCTATAGGTTAAGTTATGATAAGATTGTGTTTAGTTGTTTTATGGCCTACCTACTCATCTATACTAACTCAACTCAATACTAACTTATTATGACGTCATCTTATTCCAACACACCCTATTTATCCAATAAATGGTACCTACACTTATCCCAAGTACTATCTTCAATAGAGTATGTATTAGTTAAGTGTTGAATACTACATCTAACTTGACTTATCTTAATGTGTTATTTGGGTTAGTATTGGGTTGTTATTGAGTTGTCCTAGCTAGATAATATCATTAAATAGTTGTTGATTTATTGCCATATTATGAGTCCATACTCGATATTCCTTACTTTAAGACACTTTCCAACCCACTACTACCTTTATTACACCTTAATTATATCATAAATTGATATTTTGATTTATGGTGAAATTTGAACAGGGGGGTCAAAAATAAAAAGACGAATTCCAGGCCCAGGAATTTTGATTTTTTCCTTTTTAGATCGCAATTTTACTCCCAAAACGGAGATTTCCCTTATAAGGAAAATTTCCAAAGTATAAATACAGAGAGAATTTGAGGTCCGTGGCACTGCGAGAGACTCATGACTAGTAACTCTATAACATGTACTATGTTATCGAACACTCAGCAGTGTCCACCTGTCCCTTAGTTAGTTTGTCCCTGTTAGTTTGTCTATATTAATTGGTCCCTGTTAGTTTGTCCCTTAGTTGGTTGTCCCTTAGTTGGTTGTCCCTTAGTTAGTTTGTCCCTTAGTCAGTTGCCTCATACTCCTTGCTGTACGTAAGCATAAAAGCCCTAACTAAACTGCAGTACTGCTGCAGCACTTGCGATTGGCGTCAAGTAGTCCCATAGTCATCCGAAAATGACTTTATAGTTTAATATCTTATTGAGTTTAGGTTGTGGTGGGTTGAGTTTGAGTTAGGTTTGGGTTGAGCTACTATTCAATAAACATGTTGTAGTGTAATGGAATGATTAAGTATCTTATGTTTATGTTTTGAAGGCTAACTCTTACTGACTTTATTAACTCTTACTAGAGTTTAGAAGTACTCCATTAGATAAGCCTAGTGGTTCAAAGATATAGTTCTGGTAATCTATGTGTTACTTTTTGTATGCTTATACCTTTTGCACTCTCTAACCCTATTGGGTTAGTGTTGGTTATTATTCTAAATCAATCCCATCTATTACTTTATTGTCTCTACTAATTCAACTTCATGTCACTCTACACCACTACTAAATCTAGCTCTACTCTATCTATGTGAAATAGTGAATAACCAGATTAGCAATCTCTATAATTTAAATTCGAAAACAAATCCCAACTCTATTCTAATTCTGACAAGATCTAAGTTGGTTTTAGTTTTACTAACTAGATTAGAGGTTTACTCTTCAATACTAAACACAACCCGATCTAAGTTGGATATACATGTACTAGTTATAGTTGTTTTGACTCTCTCACTCTTTCGTAGGGGAACATTGACGAACCCTTCCTTTAAATCGATCTTGGAGAACGCGGTAGTGTCTCTTAGTGCATCAGTGATGGTAAGAATTCCGGGTATCGGATATTGATCTAGTTGTACTTTTGTCTTGAGTGCATCTATCCGGCTTTCGTATGCTCGAATAGCAGGTAGACCTATTAAGGGTTGATCCAGCCTCTTGTTTCGGATAATATAGAATTGTTGCCTTCCGACCTCAACTCCTTTTACGCTCATTGACATAACAATTAGGCTCTCGGTTCTCACTTCCTTTCCGTTTACGTTATACAGAGATGTTATTTCTGGTTCATAACACTGTATCGGCCCCTGCTCTTGTACTAACTGCTCATACATCTCCCAATTAATCACGTTCAGTTGGGATCCTGTGCCATATGTTCCACTCATTGGTTTTCCTGAACCTAGGGTGAACTCAGCGATGCACGGTCCTTCTAGTTCGACTTTATCTTCTTCCGGTAGAGGTATGTTCGTCCTCATTTGCGGTTCCAAAGACGTTAACTTAGCTTTGGGTTTAGTCTCTTTCGACTCTTTGTTCTTCTTTGTAAAGCACTCTTCTTCCTTATGCCCTTTCTTCTTGCAGTACGTACAGACGAGGTTCAAACGGGAGTTGGTGCCTCCTGATTTCTTAGTGGTCGAAGTTTGGGATGTCTGCTGAGTTTGTTCTTTCCGGTCGATGGCTCGACAAACGTCTACAAATCGCTGCATCTCTGGTTTTGATGGATCAAAGACTTTCCCTATTAAGGAAGGGTGTGGAACGGTCTTCTCAACCTTCTTCACCAGCTGGGCCCACGTAAGGGCTTTTGCCGCATAAAGTCCGCAGGCATGCAAGGCCCAGTGGGTTAGACTTTCTCCCTTCTTGAAGTGGGGTAGCTCCAACCTGTCATCCTCGGCAGAGCTAAATATCTCGATCATTCTACTTCGCACAGTGTCCCAATGCACTTCAACGGATTCGGGTTCAACTTCTTCCAGGTCACTAATCTCTCGATAGTATGACCGTAGCCTGTGGCTAATCTTATGGAAACGGGCCAGATCTCGTGCTAGGCCATTTTGAAGCAAGATCCGGATACGCTCGGCGGAGGACATTTCCTGCCAGCTCGGGCTTTTTCCCAGGAAGTCCTCCCAACTGAGGAACTCTTCAGTGTCTTCTGAGTAAGTGAGAAACTTGAGGGCCATCTCAAGGTCATCCTTCCTTTTATGCATCGTCTCTTCAATCTGCCTTAGGTCACGTAAGGCTCCCGGGTCGTCCTTTAGTTGTTTTCTGCGATCCGCCATTTAAACTCTCGTCTTTATTCATTTGCAGGTCTATTTATAGACAGGAAAATTTCCTTATTAGGTAATTTTCTTCCCGTCTTTTTAAAACCGGGAATGTCCTTTTAGGAACATACAACAGTTATAATAAAGGAATGTTTCTCTTGAGTTTATTAATCGGATCTTATCACAAATCTTAATCTGATAAACAAATCGATACAGTACTTAGCTATTGTATAACTACCACCATTTAACCACCTCAACTCAACCCAATATTAACTTAACTCAACTTGTATCTTCTTGCTGATTGGTTACTTGCTGGCCTTACGGGCCATGGTATAGTACTCGGCCGGGGAAAGATGAACGGGCACTGGGAAGCCAAGTAGTTGAGTTAAGGCTAAATTGCACTTCTGCTTGCCATCGAGATCTCTGGCATACGGACACCCAGAACAACCAGGCATGCCCGTTTCTTTCATAATAACTGCACAAGGAATGCTTTTGTAATCCTTACGACTACCTACCTGACCATAAGTATGCCGTATAGCATATCGATACTCTTTGTCAAATCTGTCCGGTGTACAGTTGAAATGACTACGCAATAAACTCACGGCATCTTCTAAAGGCACACCAATGTTCTTAAGGAAATTAACTAAGTTGGTCCGGTCCTGGTACTTAAGATGTTGATCCTGGCGTAGTCGGTCAAGAATGCGTTTAATACACCCTGGAATGAACTTCTCTTCCAGCTTAATTGCTTCTAAAGGTTGCACTCTTTCTTTCACATCGTAAACCATACCGACTTGATTGGACTGGTAGAGCTTTTCGGTTGTCCAACTCAACATATCAGCAAAGGCACGAATAAGCATACTCTTAACCCCAGCTACTCCACTTTCCATCCGGCCATTTTCCATTCGTTCCTTCAGCCCATAGAAGTGCCAGAATCCAGCTCGGACTCTAATTCTCTCCCCACGATTAACCATTCCAGCTACTTTCTGGCCGACTGCCAAACTAACCTTCTCCTGGCCCATCCAATTAGATTGGTCTCCATCCACCTCGATTACAACTCCTTGCTCAGTCGAGTTAAACCGAACCGGCTCAACTAAACGCGTAATGTACTCCTCAGCCCAGAACAAAAGAATCTCCTTCTCATTCATCTGCTCCAATCGCGAACGGAATATCTGGATTTCACCATTCACAAAATCCTCCATTCTACTTGGATCAGCTACACTTGCTACCTTACAGGCATAGTGCTGATTTAAATCAAGATCAGCCGACCAATCTTCACTAAATCTCGCTGAAATAGGCAAATGCCCCCGTCTCTCTAAGTATCCATAGACTTCCCGACGTTCCCGAACCAATCCATAATAATCCTCAGTCCTATCTACACTTGTCCTTCCATCAAGATAGAGGTTTAATCGATGTGTTATCTTTCTCATATGCGGCTAATCGGAAAAATTTATGAAATTTGACGACTACATTCAGAAGCGTATTACTATCTTTGATCGAAAACTGGCTGAATATAATGAAAAGATAAAGAATCTCTCTAAACTTCCCATTCACATAATTACCAAATTTGGTAATTTTGATGGAACGGCTTATGAGACTACTCCTTTTGTTATCTCTAAGCATTTAAACCCACAACATCAAGAGTTTATTGTGGCTAAAGTAGATGGTCTTCTTTGGGATGCCCACCGACCTCTAGAAGCAAGTTCCTCTTTGGAGTTTTTGAGTTTTGAAGATAAGGAAGGCCGACAAGTATTCTGGCACTCTTCCGCTCATGTTTTAGGTGAGGCCTGTGAGAGTACTTATGCCTGCCATCTTTGTCTAGGACCACCGACCGACTCGGGATTCTTTTATGAAATGAGTATGGACCGAACAGTAACACCTGAAGATTATGCCAAGTTGCAGAAAGCAATGAAAGCAGCTACAAAGGATAAACAACGGTTTGTACGTTTGGAATTATCTAAGGCTGACTTACTAGACATGTTTTCTGAGAACCCGCTTAAGTTAGAACTTATTCAAACTAAAGTAGAGGAGAAGAGTACGGTTTATCGTTGTGGTCCTTTAATTGATTTCTGTTTAGGCCCACATATTCCTGGAACTGGATACATTAAGGCTATTGAAGTAACTCATCATAGTAGTTCCTTCTTTTTAGGCGATTCATCACGACCGGTCTTACAACGTATTTACGGCGTATCTTTCCCCAGCACTCAACTCATGAAAGAGCATTTATTGCGCTTGGAAGAGGCCAAGAAGAACAATCATCGGCGAATTGGTACGGAATTAGATCTGTTCTTCTTCTCACCAATGAGTCCTGGTTCGTGCTTCTTCTTGCCTAAAGGAGCTTTTATCTACAATTCATTGATTGCTCTGATTAAGGAAAATTACCGGAAACGAGACTTCAAAGAAGTGATTACTCCTAATGTCTTCACCAATGAACTTTGGAAGACAAGTGGGCATTGGGCCAATTATAAGGATGATATGTTTTGTTTCTCGGCTGATAATACGGAAATGGCCTTAAAACCCATGAACTGTCCTGGGCATTGTTTGCTTTTCAAACACTTATCTTGTTCCTATCGTGATTTACCCTTAAGAATTGCTGATTTTGGTGTCTTACATCGTAATGAGATCTCAGGGGCCTTAACTGGTCTGACTCGAGTCCGAAGATTCCAACAGGACGATGCCCATATCTTTGTGCAAACTAGTCGAGTGGCCGAAGAGATTCTTTCGGCTTTGGACTTCCTAAAGGAAATCTATGCCGTACTTGGCTTTACTTATGCCGTAGCACTTAGTACCCGGCCGAGCAAGTACTTAGGAGAAGCTAGTGTTTGGGACCAGGCTGAGTCCCAACTTAAATCAGCTTTGGATCTAGCCGGAGTGCCTTGGACTCTTAATGAAGGCGATGGGGCGTTTTACGGGCCTAAAATAGACATCTCAATTAGTGATGCCTTGGGTCGTCAACACCAGTGTGGGACGATTCAACTGGACTTCCAATTACCGCAACGGTTTAACTTGACTTTCCGGAATGCTGAAGGTAAGATGGAACAACCAGTGATGATTCATCGTGCTATTCTAGGTAGTGTTGAACGAATGTCTGGAATTCTACTGGAACATTTCAAAGGCCGTTTACCTCCCTGGCTTAATCCAAACCAAGTAGCCATCATTCCCGTTACGCCTAACGAAATACCGTATGCTCATAAGACAGCTCAACTCTTGACCGGTTTGGAAGTCTTCGTGGATAGTTCCGAAAGTACATTGGCTAAGAAGGTGCTTAATGCTCAGAAACAGAAGTTCTCATTTATTGCGGTAGTTGGTCCTAAAGACGTATCGGCCCAAACTCTAGCCATTCGTAACTTAGTGCCTGACCAGGCCGCAACTACTATTCCAGCTGCAGCCGCCGCCACTATCATTCGAACCACGGTCGAGCACCGCGATATTTCCACGGACAAGACTCATACGTACTTGGCCCCGACGCGGCAACTACCAGTTTCCGTTTCTATTGCCATGCAGTGCATCAACCAATTCTTCCATGATATCAAAAAACGGACTTTTGATTTACTTCATAAGATCAAGAAATAGGTCCAACTAACAATAAAGCATTCTTGGGTTTAACCATACGATCAAAAAATCACAATCAAAATCAAAATCAAGTAAATTTACTAATTGCCGTGAAATGAGACTTTGTAATTAGGAAAGACATCGGCCAATCGCTCAACTATCTTCCGGCCATGATCACCTTGCATCACAATTACTTGACCAGTCGGCGACGCATCAATGTTCCCATTGCAACAAAGCTCGCGTTTCAGTCGGTTCAGCAGATCGTCAATTTCAAAATCAGCCGGAATTCCTTCCACTGTAGTAAGCCACTTCCGCCCTTTCCGAATCTGTTTACGCACATGAATTTCATTAATGTTTAAGCCAGTCTCTTCATCGGAAAAGACATATTCGTCATCACAGTCGACGTCATCATGCATGCCCCAAAAAAGAAAAGAGCTTTTCAATCTATGAGCTACTAGACTGTTGGCATAGTTGGAATAGAGTAGTACTGTTGCTCTTAAGGGCATCCATGGCCGTATGAAGTAGTTTAGAATGTGAAGAGATAGGAACTCCATTGGACATTTCTACAAAAGAGATATACTCCTGGTGCTCAGTATAGGAAGCAGCTAGTACTACGGCAGGTAAGCGATCCCTTTCCTCCTGATCAGTTGTATCGATAAGATAGGCATCCTTTTCATATTTTGAAACTGCACAGGAAAGAGCAAAGATAAGATGGCGAATAGGAATACGGAACTTTTCTAGGGCAAAGGTAGTACTATTGATAAGCAGGGGTAGAAGGGAACCATCAGCAAAAATAACTCGGTGTTCTATTTCATAGCAGAAGTCAGTCTCCATAAGTAAAGGTGTAAAGATCTTTTCGAGAATTTCGCCTATCTCTTCTTCTTTTCGTTCCGTACGGATTCGCGATGCACTGGCCGGTAGAGATCCTTCTTCCATTTTAACGATGATTGATAATCTCTGTTTCTGGGTAGGCGAGTGTGTAAGAAGAGTAGAGACTTGGGAGAGGCCGTGATTGAAATAAATAGCTTCTTGAACAGAGATAGCCACTAAACGATGTTGATTATACTTGCGGCCGTCTTTCCGGAACATAAAAAAATGCATGGTCTGTCTTCCTTCTCTCTTCTCCTCCTTCTCTCTCCTTATCTTCTTATCTCTTGGTTTGTATTAAGTCGGGTTTGAGTTAGGTTTTAGTTGGTATTTGGGTTAGAATGGATTAGAATGGGTTAGTATGGGGTTGAGTTGGGTTTAGGGGGTATTATAACGATATTATGTGTTATTTATTGTGGGTTTAGTGGTGGGTTGTGTTGGGTTGGTATTGTGTTGGCATTGAGTTAGTAGGGATAAGATGTAAAGTTAAATGGGGTAGATTTGGGTTAAGTAAGCTAAATAGTGTTTGTTATCTGCTTTGAGATGCTTAGTTGGAAAAATAGCTGGAAGTGAGATGGGGTTGAGATTGGGTTGGTATTAGAGACTTTGAGGTTGGTGGGTAAGTAAGCAGTAAAGAGGTGTTTTATTGAGAATGTAATCACTACTGGTTTAAATTAAAGCTAATTTCAACTTTAGAAATCAACAAAGAATATTGAGTTTAGTTGGCTTTTTGTTTCAAATTCAAATTCCAATTCAAATCCAATAAAATCATGATTAAGCCAACCTTCTTTAAATCGGCCTAAGATATGTCCTTGTTCAGAATACAACATAAGACTAACATAATATAAGACTAACTCAATACCAACTCAATACTATCACAATAAACCGACTTACTTGCTAAAAAGAGACTAAGCCAGATTACAATCTAACATAACATCACCAAAAGACAATACTAACACCACACTAACACAACATCACCAAAAGACAATACTAACATAACACCACACTAACATAACACAACACAAGATAACATAATACAACTTTATACTAATTTGACTCCTTAGGAGTGGTTTTCGAGTCTTCAATTGAATCAACCCATTCGGAATAGACATCAATAGGTTGTGAAAGTCGATTGGTGGTACATTCAAACGTAACTGAACAGGCCAGACAAACTGCTTGGCCTCGATTTCTTTGATGATCAACTCGACACTGAACTGTGGCTTCACGATTACATTCAAGACATGAGAAACGTTTCTCTTCTTTGGGTTTAATGATTCTTTTGGGACCGCGTTGACTCTTCTTTCTTGCCATTTAAAATCTCAGTTTTTCGGGCTATTATGGATTGTATCTTCTGTCGGATAGTGAAAGGTGAAGTGGGGAACAAGGTTTATGAGGATAGTTTGTTTATTGCTGTCATGGATGTTAATCCGATTTCTCGAGGACATATGTTAGTTGTGCCAAAAGAGCATGCTGAGCAATTAACAGATCTTTCTGATGCTTATCTAGGTGGTGCCTTGCTAGTTATTAAGCAGATCGTATCTAAGGTGGGAACAATTGACCAGTACAACATCTTACAAAATAACGGACATCTGCAAAGTGTTAAACACGTTCATTTTCATATCATTCCTTGGAATGCCGAGGATGAAGAAGGTCTTTTAGTTAACTGGACAAGGTCGCGAGTTTCAGCTGAAGAAATTCGACTGCTGGGTGATAGTATTAAGCAGACCTTCCAGGATAAATAAACATGCGAATTCCTAAAGGATGTGAGCGATTGAATGTGCTGCTAGTTGGGGCAAGTAGTTTAGGCAAGACTTCTTTTCTATCTACACTGGGTCAAACTAGTCTTACTCAGGAAGGCGAGTTTTCAGAACATAAACTTATGGTTGAAAATCAGCCGGTTTACTTCTATGAAGCCCGTGGGTATGGAACTACTGGGGATATGGCCGAAAGCTTTGCTAAGATAGAAGGATTTGTTCGTGAGCGATACCGTGAACATTTAGTGGAAGAGACCAAAATTCATCGTGATGTTTTCTTTGAAGATAAACGAATCCACTTAGTTCTGGTTTTCCTCTCAGTTAATAATCGTGGAATTAAGGACTACGATCTTACCCTACTTAAGCTACTACATACTAAAACCAATCTTATTCTGGTTATTCCTAAGTGCGACTACCATACAGAAACTGAACTAAGCGACTTACGCGCCAAAATCAGTAGCTGCTTATCAGAGAACAAAATAGATCTCTTTGAAACCAACGAGATTCCTAAAGAAAAACAACCACTAGCCCTATTAGCAGCAGATAAGAAGTCAATTGATGGCAAGCCTTTTTCAGGCCGTGAATTACCTTGTGGCCGCGTTCTTATCTCTAACCCAGAACACAGTGACTTTGAACTGTTCACCATGCTTTTAACAAGTGCCCGGGCCGATTTACTAAGTACTACCCACTTCCACTTCTATGAAAAGTACCGTATAGCTATGTTACAGTAGTAGATCAATAAAGAAGCGGCCAAAGAGTCGAAATTTTTATGGAGTCTGTCGTGCTCATATTCAGTGAATCTGTAATTCACCTTTTAGATGGACTATTGCACCAAGCCAGTGGTGCTCTTTATAGACTGCGTGTTTTTCCATTACTTGTTGCTGATGGTCGAATAATGCGTCGTTGGGTGGCCGTTCAAACTGAAGGCGCCCGTGAATTCCAAGAGAAGGAAGAGAAGTCTGAAGATGTACATTCCTTTGTTCATAACATGCGAAAGCGGCCCTGTATGATTTTTATTGATATGCCCGGTTCAGTTGAAGATTTGCCATATTTTGTGATTTCAACCACCAGCAAACAACTGGAATTTCAGGTTGGCGGCCAAACAATTGGAACTTGGTCAATTAAGGATGTTTATGAAGGTATTGTTACTAGTGTACTTAGTTACTTCCATCGCACCCAGGTTCAACTGACTGGCATTCGGATCAAGAACAAAGAAGGGAAAAAGAAGACAGTTGAGACTGATATTTACCTAGAAGGCATAGATATGACCATTCCCAGTCAAATGGAGATAGTACATAACGAAGCCAAAGGCATTCTTATCTCCAAGAATAGTGTTTATACTGAGAACCGGCTCTTTATTAAGATGATTAGTGGTAATACACTTGCTTTCACAGGCCAAGGCATCTTTCTTAAGCTAGAAGCCCATAACAACAAGATAATCGGATCTATTATTAAACCAAGTACTGAACTAACTATTCTAGATGGTATACTTCCAGGGGTCAGTAAGTACTATGCTGAAAAGTTCAAGAACTCACTCGTTCGTAGTGTAGGCCCTGAGATTGAAGGCATTCTTGATGGACTGATTGGCGGCAAAGAAGAAGGTCGGCCTTTAGTTTTTGAAAATGAGATACAAAAGATCAAAGCATTAACTGGAGATAAGAAGAACAAAATCATGAGTGCAGTTTTGGAAATTCTCAACACTCTAACTATCCCGAATACCGATAAAAAACACAACTACTACCAACAACTCAAAAAGATGTATCTAGAAGAAAGAGTTTCACCTAATATTGAGACTAAAAAACCAGCTGTACAAATGCATCTACGACCTAGCACCCCAGTCGGCCCTAGATCTCTTTGCCAGGCCATTTGGGAGATGAATTCTGATCGACCAACAGATTAGCGTATAGCTAGTCCAATAAATATTTTCAGATGGAGATAGTTCTGGTTGCGGGTGGTAAAGGTGGAGTCGGTAAATCTACGGTTGCTTACATGTTTGCCCAATCACTATCTCGAAACCAAAAAGTTCTTTTGTTAGATTTTGATATTTGTGGACCGAGTGTTGGTGTTTTGACTGGTATTCAAACGGAAAGAGTCTTTCCCGGAGTGCAAGGACTGACTCCCCTGCATAAGAGTGACAATCTACACTTTCTCAGCATATCAGCAATGATTTCTGAATCGGCCGCCGTGATTTGGCGTGCGCCGAAAAAAGCAGCCTTATTAAAGCTATTCCTAGCTAGTATTGACCCACAGATTTATCAGTATGTGGTTATAGATATGCCGCCTGGAATTACAGATGAACATTTATTTGCAGTCACTAATCTTCCTACAGCTCGAGCTCTGATTGTAACGACTTCGCAAAATCTAGCTCTAGAAGAAGCCTTATCAACCATCACCTTTTTTCAAAGCCATCAAATTGCGATCTTAGGAGTTATTGAAAATATGCGAACTATCTGCTGTACTAATTGCGGGACTCGCAATGCGATCTTTTCTACTGAAGGCGGCCAACTCTTAGCTGAAGAAGCCGGTGTGCCCTACCTCGGTCATATTGAGTTCTTGCCAGCCCATCCAGAACAAACTATTCCAACTGTCATTGCTCAACTAACCGACCAAATAGAACACAACCCAACCACAGCCCAAGATATATCTTAATTAAATCCACTATTTATTGCTTGCAAGTATAAATGATCTTATCTTATCTTTGTTTTGATTGTTGTTTTGATATGACCAAATTCAACTAGGCACCAAGTAACTTCTAGGCCAAACTACTTCCAAGCTTTCACCAGGACTTATTGACCTCCTTTTCCAGCACCCGACTTAATCAGAGCATTTAAGTAGTTGGTACGTACCAAAAGAACCATCATAATAGCTAGGGTAGTCATACCAGCAATGATCACAAAAGTGTAAAGCATTCGCCGAGAATTGACTTTAGGATTCTTGTGGCTGCACATACCCGGCAGCGCAAAAAGCATACCGATAATGAAAGACACAATAATACCAAACACATAGTTCTTACGTGCTCCAATTCGTAGAGCCTTAATTTCAAAGATATAAATCATTACTGCCACAACGCATCCGACAATTAGCAAATCTAAAAGTAACAACAAACCATAAGATAACCATCTTTGCTTAGGAGTTTTTTGGAAATCAGCATCACCCCAAGGTCGTACAATAGGCAAGTAGATCAGCCCAAGTAGAATAAAGCCAAAAGGAGAAATTGCTCCCCAGTTCAGCTCTTTACCAGTCATTACCACCAAAGAGGCAATTACAGCCGCCAAAGATACACTACTTAGAAGAGCCACGTGACTAATTATCCGACAGATCTGAGAAGAGATTCCTAAAAAGGTTGGCGAGTTATAGATTAACTCAGAACTAGCCGACGCACTCTTATCATCTTTTCGGATAGAAACAAACTTAGGAATACTACCAGAGCCCGGATAAGGTGAACTCCAGTAACTAGTTGTCGACCGATTGTTCCTCATATCATCACCAGAAGAAAGGAGATTAGTAGTAGGTTTTTCTTGTTCCACAAATCGCATTAAATTTGATCTTCATCTTTTAATTATAAAAACTTAGAATATTTCCTAATTGGGAAATTTACCATATATGGTAATGGTATGACGCTAAAAAAACGCCAACGACTAAAGTAATAAACTAAACCAACAAATCTCATTTATTTATCACCACCTACCAAAAGCCCAACTCAACACCGCCCTAACCCATCTAAATACCACCACAACACAACCCATCAGCCCAGACCAGCCGCCTAAGTAACAAAAATGTGCTGTCCCGGAATCGAACCGAGCACCTTTCGCGTGTTAGGCGAATGTGATAACCAACTACACCAACAGCACTTACGCTTCTACAAACATTGAGGTATACCTACTCTTCCTGACTAGTCGCCAACTCAATCCATCTAAGCACCAACTGTTTAGCCATTCTTTTGATCTCCTTCTTCTCATAAGGATTCTTAGAGTAGAACAAAACTATCTTTCCAATCCCACTCTCTATCAAATGCTCTTTTTCTGGTGTAAAGTGCTGTAAGATATCAAAAACTCCCTTTTTAACATCATTATGAGGTAATGAATTATCTGGCAGGGGTTCTAACCACTTTTTAAGAAGAGATAAGACACCCGAATCTAACAACTCTTCATGGATTTTCTTATTAAGTAGCTTGTTATAGATAGAATCCATTAAAAAGAGTCTTGTTAAGGCTGGTTTTCCTTCTTGATTGAGTTGTTCATCTTCTTTTTGAGCTTTATCTAACTCAACAAGGATTTCGCCTATCTCTTTATTATCGTAGACAATTGGAGGATTAGCATCAGTAGAGGACATAAATAAAATTGGCGAAATTACAATTGGATTATGAATTGAATCGAGTTAATGTTTAGTGGAGTTGTATTGAGTTGTGTTGAGATAAGATTGGGTTGGGTTGAGATAAGATTGGGTTTGGTTGTATTGGGTTGTGATAGGGTAGGTTTTTGAGATAAGATAGTGAGATAAGATTGTGTTAAGTTGTTGAGATAAGATAGTGAGATAAGATTGTGTTAGGTTGTTGAGATAAGATAGTAATAAGTTGTTGAGATAGTATTATGGGATAAGATAGTGAAATAAGATTGTAATAAATTGTTGAGATAGTATTATGAGATAAGATAGTAATAAGATGGTGAATTGGGTGACATTATTTAATGGTAGATGTTAGAGCTCTTGGAAGCCGAAGACGTGGGGGTGATAGTATCTTAGTACTCGGAAGAGGAAGACAGTGGCTTCATGGGTATTTTGCTCGCTTTCGAGTTTGACTAGGTCGATGGGCTGGGAGGGGTCAAAGGGTGGGTATTGGGCATAGGGAGGAATTGGGACTTCTTTGGCAAACCGAACTAACTCGGTGAAATGTAGAGCTTTAAGTAGAATGGCGATGTCTTTGGGTGAGAACATGCTGGTTCCGGTGGTTTCTTTTGATTCTTCATGGTAGTAGAAGAGACTGAGACAGCATGATTTGAGGCGTAGGAGAGAGTCAAGAATGGCATTGCGATGGACTGTGTAGAAGATGTGTTGGCCGGTCGTTAGAGTTAGCAGGAAGACATTGAAATTGTTGGCGTAGAAGGATAAACAAGGTCTTAGAGCGCGGGCTGAGTTACCAACTACGAAAACCTTCTTGAGGTACTCGTAGAGAAGTAAGAAGAGCAGATACTCATTGAGAAGGGAGAAGGCCAAAAACCCAATACTAACCCGGATGGGAGGCTGGGCTAAAGCGGCTTTGAGACTATTGGTTAAGGAGTTATACTGATCAAAAGTAATAGGCGGGGCATTAGGATTCTCAACGGTTGGGCCTGGAGTGTTTTCGGGATCGTACTTCTCAATGATAGTAGAGATGGCTTGGTTGTAAATCTGGCGGTATTCGTCTACTTTGGGGTGGCGTATTTGAGTAGCGGCATAGTAGGCATCGCGGGTGAATAAATGAAGTTTGAGAACATAGAGAGTAATCACATCAAAAGGAATTAAGCGGATGACAATGCGGAACCAGGGCACAATGTGGGTGATATCAGGACGGCACATAAATGCACGGTCCCAGATCTTATCACGAGGCCAGAAGTGCTCGGTGGCAATTACTAGAGTAGCACTCAGGAAAGTAAGAACACTAGGAAATTGGGACTTTTCCTTAGTTAGATTCTCAACAAGTGAAGTATGCTTGGCTTTGAAGTAGTTGGGGAACTTTTGGGTTAGAGGTAAGTTGCCCCAGACTTGCTTGACATAGGAGTTAACTTGATGCGCAGGGAAGTGGTCTTGGCAAGCCGGTGCAAGTCTTCTTAGGTGGGTTAGAACTATGCGTAGGGCGTTAGTATCTGTTTTGTTGTAAGTAGCCCATTTTTGGGCGAATAAGAGCAGAGTGCGCGGGCTGTAGGAGAGATAAGACATAAGGAAGAGAGATAGGGCAAAACATGAGAAGTAAGTTTGGGTTGGGTTGCACTCGGTTTCATTATGGTTCTCGCCAATTTGTAAGATCCGGCCGATGGTTGTTTTCATGGCCGGAATAGAGTAGTCAGAAGGAAGACAAGCTGTCTCTTGGTTATAGTCAAAGACAAGAATGTGTTTGGCTAGAATGTGCATTTGGACCATGTACTTGAATGGCGGGGTTAAACAGGTGCTAATGGCATTGTTGCGCTGGAGTAGGTTCTTGTGTAGCTCAAAGAGAATGGCGGGTAGATCGGCGGCTGTTTGTGGCCGGAAATGCACGGTGTATGCCTGGTCAAGCTGAATGATATAAAGTCCGTTGTGCTTATCTAAGGCATGCCAGTTACTTGGTGCAGATGATCGAATAAAGAAGCGAATACCCGCTCGGTCAGAAATGTATCTAATCATTTGGTGTTCGGAAACGGCCATAATTAGCATCTTAAAGGCTATACTATTCTCTTCCGGCATAAACTTTCCTAGTTCATCCAGCAGCTGTCTATCACGGGTCATGAAGGGATAGAAATTGTCTATTCGTTCGGCCAAACTTGGGAATCGCCTTAAATAAAGCTCATAGTACTTCTCCAGTAGAGGGAAGTTTTTAGTCAGTAGAGTGAGAAGCTTTCTTCTTTGTTTCAAGTAATCCTCTGGTCGGCTAGCATAGACATAATCCACAAATCCGTCCTCAATAGTAAAGGCCTTGCACAGACAGTCGATACTTTCCATTGACCGACACTCACCAGCTGAAGAAAGCTTACGCCCTGTATATTTGTAGAACTTATCAAAAACAACAACATGAAAGATTTCCTTATCTCCGGCTTCAGCAGTAATCTTCTCTCTACCTGGATGCCACCAAATACTCTTCAAGTACGTCTGTAGATTGTAGTACTCCCTTTTTGCACAGTGACTTGCATCACGAATAGGTATACTCTTTACCGATTGGTCGGACAAATAAGCAAGATCTACTAAGCTCCGATTCGCCTCTAGCATATCAGTATTATTCAGCTCAACTCCATGCTCCCACTTTTCAAAATCAAAGTACCCATCATAGATAGACAATTTATGCAGCGGATCTCCCCCCACAAAGGAAACACTTAGATTAAGCAAATTCCCTTCTTGTGACCCCCACAGCAAGAAGTCACGCCAAACCAAAAACTCCGATAAGGTTGCAAATTGTCCAATTATATCCAGCACACGTATTTCCCATCTCTTCTCATTCACTTCAATCTCACCCCAAAGTGGAACGTACCGTCCAGTTGCCGGGCCTCCAAAACAGATAGGCACTGCCCAAGAAGAAGGATGAACATTCACCAGGCCAGGCTTGTGACTACAAGGCTCGTCCCCCTTTAGATAGATTAAATACCCAAAATTAAGATCGTGCAGCAAACTCCAATACACCGACATGCCTTTCCCCCATCCTTCAACTATTCTTACCAAGACTGGGTCTATCTGCACATTAAAGAAGTTCATTATGAAATTGGGTCCAATTTAATTTATACCCACTGCTTCAACCATTCCCATCTGATATGATTGAATTAGTATTGTGTTGGTATTGAATTAGTCAGATAGTGCTAATTAATACTAATCCAATCCAAACAATGCATTAATTAACTGGCCGCAATATAAACTTGGTTTCTCTTAATACATAATTAGATAACAATTCATTAGATATCAATTAATTCTGTTCTATGCCCATAGGCCATACAGTCTCACATGAAGGTCTGAGCCGATAGATCTACCTTCTTACAATGACTTATTGATTCACCAGACCAAATTATCTTGCATATCAAAATTACGTAGCATAGCCAAATGCTTACTTACCAATATCTACAGATAGGAGACGTAAACAACCATTTCCTTAAGCTTAAATAGAGAGTGTTCTGAATAAATAACGATAGTTTCTGACTAATCTTACCAAGCAACAACTAATTCAATAACAACATGCTAATTCGGTTTATTTAGTTAAGTAATGACCAGCATAATAGTGGTTAGTATTGGGTTAGTATTGGGATTAGTAGAGAAGGTTCGAATTAGCATATTATAGTAAGTGAATATAGTAACTAGGTTGAGTTGAGTTGATAATTAGATTGAGTTGAGTAGAGTTGATAATTAGATTAAGTTGAGTTGATAATTAGAGCATGATTGAGATAGCCGAAACAATTTCTTGAGTTATTTGCGTATCTACCTCAAGCATACCCGCTAGTAGTAACACGGCCTTGCCCAGTTTACGGTTCTCCTCACTAGGGAATTCGGCTATCTTCCGCGCAATAACTGCCAGCCCAAATGGAATAGCCGCTTGAACTTCAGCCGGCATGTCATTAATACTTTGGGCCTTCTTAAATACACTACTCGTCTCCGTATCTGGAATTAGTCCGGTACTACGAATCGCCGTAGCTAATTCCCCACTACTCTCTACCTGGCCTACGGCAATTAAAGACCACAGAATATTAGTCGTCCGATTATTAAAGTGTTCCACAATAGATTGCAATCCATCCTCACTAAAAGCTTTCTTCTTAATCTTATCAGTTAAGATCTTAATCAAAATCTCCAATGTTTTCTGACCATTACCCAAATAGGAAACTTTCAATGCCTTTTGCAAATCACCGCCATGCATGTAGTAAACCGAAATCTTCTCTATTACCGCTCCCAATGGAATGTCAATATACTCCTGTAAGGTACTGGGATGTTTTCTACCCTGTCCATCCAGACCCCCAAGCACTCCAAACTCTTCCGCCGCAATAAATACTTCCGCCACTAAGTCCTCCACCCAGTCCACGGCAATAAATGGCACCACTAACTGTACTACACTTAGTTTCTCTTCTGGTTTCAAGAACAAAGAAGATACGCGTTGGACTATCTTCACAAACAAATCAATCGCTTGTCCGACCTCATTCTTCTCCACCCGACCCCGTTTCACCGGTAAACTCCCCGGTTTAGCCACCGCAATCCGTCGGGCAATAGCTAAGGCCAGGAACAAGACTTCCGCCGTCTTAAAACTCTCATCATGCAAGATTTCCAGTGCATCTTTCCATTGCCCCAAAACCATCGCCGCGGCAAACAACTTAGAAGAAGAAATAGCCCCACACAGTACTCGGAAAGTCTCTACTTCATTACCTACCAACCGACCGTTCAGTCGTTTCTGAGTCTCACCAGCTAGAATCTGGTTCCATAAGAAGTCCTCTAAAGTAGCCAGAACAGCTCGTGGTGCCCGACTATCACCACTAAACAACTGGAAGAACCATAACTTAAACGGATCGTCCTCTTCCGTCGGTGTCTCTTCCCAGCCCGTTGTCTTCTCAACCCGTTTACTACTCATTCCCATATCGTACATCCAGCGCAGTAAGGCCTCAGTGAAATTACGCCGAATCTCAGTAAAGAATCCTTCATGACTCTCTACAAACTGAACAGCCTCCTCATACATTCCCGCTCTTAAACAATGAAACAGTTCAATAAACATCGCCCGGTTGTTATACATCTCAATTTTAAACATACTCCGACTATACCTACTATTAGCATAGGCACTAACTGCCTCTAAACTCCTTTCTCCTAAGACTTTATCCCTATGCTGTAATTCCAGGAACTGCAAAGCACTTTGACCCTCCTGAGCGTACACGTACACGTCATAAAGCATATCGGATGAAAACATAGTTCGACTAGCCGGTCGACCCCCACGTACAGCCCGACATCCAGCAATAATCATTTCAGTAAACTCTTCCTTCCTTATCTTAAACTGTCTGGGTTTAGGTGCCGAAAGAATCTGTTTCTCAACCCGCCGGAACTTATCTTGTAATTGTTGATCAAATAATTCCACGGCTGCCTTAACTTGTCCCTCACCATACGCCACTAACTTTTCCTGGAATAGTCCATCCAGGAATCTTTCCACACTAACTGCTCCTTTAGTGGCAGCTACTCGCATTATTCCCCCTATCTCTTGAATCTTCTTCTCTAATTCAGGATGATAAGCATGAATATGTGACCCTCTAGTCTTAAGGAACAGTTCTACATCGATTAAACTCATTGAATAGGTCTTAACTGGAAACTCATCTTCAGATAAGACTTGAAGTAACTCCATGGGTCGAAAAAGTATTGCAAAGCCAAATACGAAATCCAATCTCTTTTTTTAATAATGCATCTATTTGGGCCTCTCTTGTTACTTAGTTTACTCATACCAGGCCTATTGGCCTCTGTCATTACTTGTCCGACCGGTTGCGATAAGGTATTTCAATCTTTATTCACTGATTGCTCATTGGAAAAGGCCGAAGAAGCACTGAAACAATTAGATAGTCCGTGCGCACACTTTTATCGCTACTTTATATCTAGTTATTACCACTTAGATGGGAAGAGTGCACTTAAATCTCTACTTATTTCACTTGATTCTGAATGTGAAGTAAAAGATCTTGCCCGAATGGTTTATGCCTCGAAGATAGATGGTAAGTACGGGTTATTAGGAACTGCTCAGGAATCAGGTGAGTACTTTCGTGATCTAGCTGAGAAGGTCTTTAAGACATTCTTTACTCAGAAGTTAGTCCTGTTTGCTAAATGGGAGTTTGAACATTTGGAGAAGGAAGGTGAAAACAAGCGGATTATTGATTTCATTAAGACTTTGACTCGTGGTGGAGATGCATCAGCAGCTGAGAATTTATTGTCTTTGATTAAGATAGGACATGTAGATGCGGCTGCGCATTTAGATTTCTTGAAAGCTAGTGCTAGAGCCGGTCGAGCCGATGCAATGGGTATTCTCGGGAATATGTACTACTATGGCTGGGGTGTAGCCCAAAGTAAAATGGCTGCTCGCCACTACTTTGCTGAAGGGGCTAAGAAGAACGATCCTGACTGTTTGAACGGTCTAGGAATGATTCTAGCCCAAGAGAAGAGTATTGGTGAAGCTAAAGGTCTACTGGAGAAAGCTTCGGCAATGGGTTCAGCCGCTGCTGATTATAACTTGTTTTTGATCTATGAAGATAGTAAGAACTTCCTAGGCGATTTACATCTGTTAAAAGCAGCTAAGCAAGAAGGGTACTTGCCAGCAGTGTATAGACATGGTTTAAATGCCTGGAAGAGAAAAGAGTACCAAGCATCAGCTTCACAATTCAAAAGCATTGCTTCATACTCCCCTAAGATTCTTGAGTTAGAAAAGCTAGCAGTAAGTTATTGTCGCAATCAGCAAGATAAGGCGGCTTTTTATCTATCCTTACTATTAGGAGATTTAGGCCAAACAACTAGTTATAAGAATGCTTTATTTGTTCTTCAAACTCGCCAGTTAAAGATTCCACAAGTTGATATGTTACGTATTCTTATTGCCCGACGAGTAGCCGATACGGGCAGTAGTCAAGCGGCTATTTGTCTGGGTAATGTTTACTACTACGGCCAGGGAGTTCCAATCGACCGTTCTAAAGCATTCGCCCGGTACTTTGCTGCTTCTTTAATGGGTTCAGCTGAAGCCCACTACTTACTAGGCTGGATGTATGAGCATGGCCAAGGTGTACCTACCAATTACTTACAAGCCCGCCATCTTTATGCCCGCATGCTTAAAACCAATCCCTCCGCCTACCTTCTTTATGTTCTCCTCCTTATTCGGCTCTTCCTTAAGCAGCACCGAGCTAAAATCATCTCTACGTTTACTCTTCTAGGTAGTTTTATCCTTTCCACCTATCTACTTAGCACACTTAAATCCTTCCCTATTCTTTCCCTTCTGACCAGTCCGTTTACCACCACCAAGCCAACCAATCAAGACGACCTCCTACCAGAACCAACTCAACCCACCAGTCAAGATGAATTAGCTGATGATGAATTAGGTGATGATGAGTTAATTGAAGCTGACTTAGCTGAAGATGAGTTGAGTAATGACGTAGGTGATGAATTGGTTGATGATGAATTAGTTGAAGCTGACTTAGGTGATGACCTAGGTGAAGATAACTTATGTGAAGATGAGTTAATTGAAAATGAGTTAATTGAAGCTGATTTAGCTGAAGATGACTTAGCTGAAGATAACTTATGTGAAGCTGACTTAGGTGATGAATTAGTTGAAGCTGACTTAGCTGAAGATGAGTTGAATAATGACTTAGGTGATGAATTAGTTGAAGCTGACTTAGTTGAAGCAGACTTAGCTGACGAGAACTTAGCTGATGATGACTTAGCAGAAGATAACTTAGAAGAAGATATTGAATTCAGTTTTAATGATAGTGATAATGAAAATGACCTCAGTGCCGACGAAGTACTTGATGACTTAATTACAAACAACAATATTCCCAACCAGAATGAAGATACTACTACTACTACTACTACCTCAAACAATCCCGAAGTAGATAACTCTAACTCCAACTAATTCCAACTAACTCCACCTAACTTCAACCTAACCTAACTCAACCTTACTTTACTTTACTTTTTATTACCTCAACTCAACTCAACTCAATCCAATCTAAACTTCACTCAACTCCATCCTAATACTAACCCTATCTATCTACTTACTTTATCCACCACTAAACCATACTAAACTCAATACTTTAACCTACCTTAACCAAACTCACTCAAACCAAACTTAACCTAAAACTTCACTCAAACCAAATTCAACCCAAACTCAACCCAAATCCAATCTCAACCCAAACCCAATCTAAAGCAATAAACACGACTTGTTTCATCTCTAGTGTTTTATTTTAACTTTTTCAAAGCCCCGGAATGGACAGCGGAGATAAAAGACCAATCGGTACTCCCGAGGAGACCAGAGAAAGGCTTCCTAGTCCGGCAGTTAGTAAGGATTCAGTTGAGTCTAGCAATAGAAGGACTCTTAATCGGCCACGTAACGATCTAAAACGCGAAGACAGGAAGAAGAAGCCAGTCAAAAGACGAGAGGAAGAATCAAGACCAGAACCAGTCGTGATTTTACCGCCTAAAAAGGAAAAGAAACTCCTTCCTCTATTCTTTGGTGATGAAGTCCTCACTGAACAACGTATTCAAGAAGAGTTACGTAAGCATTCATTAGTCCCAGAACCTGAGACCCAATCTGAAATTCCTATCTCTAATAACTTAGATAGTACTACTACTAATACTGACTTAGATACTAACTTATCTACTCCTATCTCATCTACTACTAATACTAATACTGACTTATCTAGTACACCTAGTACACCTAATCTAGCTCCAGCTTCAGCTACTGTGCAGGTAATTGCTGAGTCTCTAGCTAGTATGGAAATCACTTCAAGTACTCCTAAAGATAAGTTAAGTGGAGATAAGTTAAGTGGAGATAAGATAAGTAGTGATAAGTTGAGTGGAGATAAGATAAGTAGTGATAAGATAGGAGATAAGCCAATTGAACCAGTGGATATTGCTAAGTATAACATTAAGGGTGGAGTGCCTCGTAATAGTAGTGGATTAGCTTGGGAAGCCATTGGTGATGAAGAGGAGAGAAGAAGAGCTATCTTTGCTAAACCAAAACCTATCACTACTAAACCAAAAGCACCTAAACCATTGCGATCTAAACCAGATAGTACTCCAACTCCAACTCAATCTACTCCACCTACTCCAACTCAACCCACTCAATCTACTCCAACTCTACCTACTCAATCTACTCCAACTCTACCTACTCAATCTGAAGCAAATGAAGTAAGTGAAGTAAGTGAAGTAGGTGAAGTAAGTGAAGTAGGTGAAGTAACTCCATTAGCAGAAGAAGATCAACTTAGTCCTGAGTTAGTTAAAGATAAGTTAGTTAAAGATAAGATAAGTAGTGATAAGTTAAGTGAAGATAAGGATTTAGTTAGTACTGATTTAGAAGAGACTAACTCAATAGTAACTAGTGATGTTGTTATTAATGAGATAATCAGTACTAGTGAAGTTGAAGTTGAAGTTGAGATTGAAGTAAGTAGTGAGTTGGAAGAAGGTCAAATAGTTGAGACAGTTTCAATTGTTTCTTCTACTTCTGAAGTAGTTAGTACTATTACTGATAGCTTAGAGTTAGTTAAAGATAAGTTAAGTGGAGATAAGTTAGGAGAAGATAAGATAGGAGAAGATAAGATAGAGGAGGGAGAAGGAGAAAAAGATGAAGAAAAAGATGACGTCATCGTTTTACCTAAAATTTATACTTTATCTATGTTAAGGTCTTATCGACCAGGTGCTGAAGGTATTAAAGTCTCTATTGATCGTAATACTCTTTTTAAGTCTTCTGGATTTGGTCGTAAGAAACGTGAGTTTAAACCTATTAAACTCTCCTTTGCTAGTAAAAAGACTCATTCACCTCCTATCTTTGCTGAAATTGCTCCTTACTTAGCTGAGTTTAATTTAGCTCTTAATCAGGTTTCTAATAACAATATTGATGAGGTAGCTAGACGTATTTTAAAAATCAAAGTACCAACTAATGAAGCAATGATAGGTTTAACTAAACTTCTTTTTGATCGTACTATTCAAGAAGAAGCTTATGCTGAAATCTATGCTAAACTTGTTGAACTTGTCCAACGGAAATTCCGCTCAGATGAAGAAGAAGCCTATAATGAAGAACAGTACCATAAAGAAAAGTCGAGTGATCGGACTAAATGGACCAATCGTTCTGTTTTTGGCCGAGAATTAGCCAACTTAGCTAAACAAGAGTTCCAAACGGCCCAAGAATGGGCTGCCACTGAAACTGTCCAGAAATCAGTCAGTATGTCAGCGGCTGAACTAACTGCCCGAGTGACTGAAATTACTAATAACAAAGAGAAAGAGTATGCCCGGCTTCATATTAAAAAGCGAGCTATGGCTGTAATTAGGTTTGTGGCTGAGCTTTTCTTGCATGGGTTCTTTACTCCTACTATTATTCATTCGGCTATTAAGTCACTGATGCGGAAGAGTACTCCAGAGAATACGGAAAGACTTTGTTACTTACTGAAGAATACTGGAGCTGCTTTAGAAGATCCGGCAACAGCTGAGTATATGGACAGTTATATTAGGTGGTTAGATCAGGCGGCTAAACAGCTTAGTGTTCGTTATAGATTTATGGTTGAGGATCTTAAAGAGTTACGAGCGGCTAATTGGGTTAGGAAAGCAGTTAAGAAGGGAGGACAGTCTTCTGATGAGAATGATGAAGAAGCCTGGAAGTGTTCTAAGCCTAAGGATAAGAAGAAGTGGGGGAAGGATAAGTTAGGGTATAAAAAAGAAGTTAAACCGGTAGAAAGATCTCTTAAACTGGTCGATCAGATTAGTAAGTATAAAGAGGAGTATGGCCGGATGGAAACTTTGACTTATAATGTTCTGCAGGCTAGTCATGCCCCGGAAGAGGAGGCAGAAAGACTTTTCGCTGAGTATAATACTAGTGCTATGTTCTTAACAGCGGCAATCAAGATAATCATTGAGGCTTATGATCAGCGCCTGGAACGCGGCTTTGCCTTCTTAAGGGAGTGGGTTAGACTTAATCCGGGTGCTCTGGCTAAGAAGGAAGAAGTCTTCTCGTACATAGAAGAGGCCATGGACGACATTGTTGATGACTCCCCTAATGCCCCCAAGTACTTCCAGCAACTCAAAGAGATAATCGCCCCAAAATAAAGCAGGCATTCAGTTTATCATATCTAGTTGGTATTTAGTTGAGTTTGTGTTTGGTTGAGTTTGTATATAGTTACTAGTTTGTACTAAGTTTATCTTATCTAGTTAGTATTTTGTGTTAATATTATGGTTATCTTATCTACTTGGTATTTAGTTACTAATTTGTTAATGTTGTGTTAATATTATGATTATCATATCTAGTTGGTGTATTTTGTTACTATTATAGTTATCTTATCTAGTTAGTATATAGTTACTACCTAATACGCTATCTATATCACCTAACTTAACTTAACCCAAACTAACTCAACACAACCCAATCCAAACTTAACTCAATCCAAACTCAAACCCAATCCAATCTCAACCCAAACTAATCAAATAGTTAAGTTGACGTTTTTTTCCTTTTATGGTAATTTTTAAATTGTAAATGTTTGGAATACTATACTAATTTTATTTTCAGATCCCCTGCATGGCAAGAAGTGAATTTACTAACGAGTTAAGAAGGATGCCTTATAAACAGGTTGAAGAGATTCTTTCTGATAAGAAAATGGCTATCTTAAGAATGCGAAACAATGAAAAACGTGATGAAGTTAAGATTAGTGCCGAATGGATTCAAACTAAAAGAGATATTGCTCGATGTTTAACTATTTTAACGGAAAAGCGTCGTAATGAGATAGCTGAAGAGTACATGACTGTTGATGAAGTGACTGGAGAGAAAGTTTCAGTTGCTGATAAGTGCAAGCCAAAGTTCTTAAGAAAGAAGCAGCCTCGTTGTGCCCGAGTTAACATGCCAAAGGAGATGTTAGAGCGATTTGCCCAGAACAAGAGCCGATTGCGCCGCAAGGTAGTTGTCTTTACCCCCTAAACAGTCAGACGGTCCGTTAAGTGCTAATGATTACTGGTATTCGGTTAGTACTGAAGAGTTAGTGTGTGACTAGCTTAGGACTATTGCGGAGTACTCTAATAAATACTGCATTAGGTTTAGTTTACGTGGTGTATTGAGTTAGTATTGAGTTGAGTTGAGTTAATGTGGAAGATCGAAAGACTCTAAACCGTCAAAATTATCTTTTGCTTATCTTATTTTGCTTATCTATCTTATTTTGAATGTCTATCTTGTCTTACATATCTTATTTTGAATATCTATCTTATTTGGCCTATGGACTGGCTTAACTCGAATGTACTAACCAAATAATAATCCAACTAAATCTTAACAAAATACTAAGTTGATCTCAATTTGATCTTGTGTTTGGTAGCCTTAGGATATCTTTAATTTTCTTTTCATGGCGTATGCTCTTATCTCTATCTATGTACAGATTGTTTCGTAGTTGTAATTATAATAAGTTGATTTGGGTGCTAGATTGGATGGATGGTTTTGCTGGGGGCTGGAATAATGGGTATGTGGTTAGATCTGTTGCAGTAATGAAGATACGAAGTTTGAACTCAATTAATCGGATTAGAAGAAATGCTAGGGTTTGGCTTGGTTTTAGTTTGAGCTTGTGGTTGGCCTTGTTGTATGGGATTAGTGTGGTGGATGGATCAATGGCAATGCCGTTGGAAAGGTTGCCGAGTCCGGATGAGGTGCTGGTGATGTTAAAGTCGCTTGGCTTTGCTTTTGCTGAAGTTAAGAATCCGTTGCTGATTAGGAAATACGCTCCTGAGTACCCGGAGGTTTCTAGTTTGGATTGGGAATGCTCGCCTAAGACATCTTTACTTATGTTTAAGCTAATCAATACGCCTAGTTATATAGTGGAGAATTTATATGGAACTGTTTGCTTTAATCTGCCGAGATATAGAGATATTAAGGAGATGGAGAATGACTTGGCTAAGATAAGAAATATTGCTTTTATTCGAACATCCTGTGTTATTATTGTTTATGATTGTGATAGTGTGTCCTTTCCCCAACAGAACTTGCGAATTCTATCTCGAGTTGTTAACATGTTTGATTGTGAAAGTATGGAAATTCGCTTTGATGGTCAACTGCAACAGAATATGTCTGAAAGTAAATTGTACTTTGCGGGTGCATTGCTAGAAGCTAAAAACACAGTTGGACATGCTACTTATAAATCAGAATGTAAGATCAGCTTTTTAAGTCAAACGAATGCTCGGCTTGATATCTTAATGAAAAGTGGAATTATCTTGTTGCGGCCATTTTCACATATTGCTCTAGAGGGTTTGGAAACCCAAAACTACGTCTGTCTTAATAACTTGAAGCTTTTGGATAATTACACCCTTTTAATTGAGTGTTTGCCTTCTAAAACGATCATTGATTTTGCTTTGATTGGGACTATTTCTAAATGCCGTAAGATTGAGTTGTTGAACTGTTTTAGATCGAATCCGACCATTCGCGGTCTTGATATACCGGACTTGCTGCATAAAGAACTAACTCTGTCGGCTAGTTTCAAATTACTTTATCACTTAGGGCGGAATCATAAGAATCGGATCTGTGTTAATACTATCACCGGATTTGATCTTGACTCTTCGACTATCTATGAACTAAGTAATCCGCCTCCACAAGTAGACCCTCAGGATTGCTACATAGTGGCTAAGGTGATTAATCTCCAAATTTCCCCTTGGTTAGGTTGTGACTTATTGGCTGAGTACCAGAAACAATATATCCCTTCTGTTTTTACTCCCTTTGGTATATTAGTTGATGGGGTTAATATTAGATATGCTTCTGGGCGATCTGATTTGCTGGCTACTTTGAATGCGTTTTATATGATCGATGCTTTACCACTGTCGGTGGTATCTGCTGTTCTGGCAGATAAGATTGTCTGCTGTGGCATTGGTTTAAGTAATCCATACTGGACGCTTCAGGCCCCGGTTAAAATTCAACTTGACCATAGTAAATTCGACTACTGGATAAATAGCTTCTATTGCCGAGCCTATCAGAGTTTTTGTCAGTGTATACAATACAGCAATATTGAAATCAGTGGATCTAACCAGCCACTATTGGATGGACAACTCAAACAATGCACCGATCTTCTGTACATATTTAAAAGCATCTACGCCCGAGTGCTTATAATCACAAATGTTCGCGCTATTGAAGAACCCCGGCAATGCATATTTTCGATGTCTGTGCTAAATCATGAAGTGCACAGAAGTCCGCAATGGCATCTTAATATTGAATCTTTGGTCTTAGACAACGTCAACCCTGATATTATTTATTGGATGTTGCGGCATTATACTTTTGATCGCGAGATAACAATCTGCATCCTGAATCAGCACTTTAAGAATCTGGCTATTACTCAACTTCTCTCACCTCCTTTTGTTGATAAGATTGCCTGTATCCAATTGAATGATTTCCATAGGTTAGATGAAATCTGCTTTTTCCATTCTCAAGACCAAATCAGTGACTTCTCATTATTTGAATATGCACAAAGAGTCTGGCCTGTCTCCAAACCGGGTCCACAACTGGGCAAACTACAGTTGTTTCTGCACAATATTGATTATTCTCCACAGCTTGATGCCGTGTTTGCGCTTGAATGTTTAGGTGTTGACCTTCAGGGGTACATGTCCTGGGAGTGAAGTATGAACAAAGTTGGTATTGTGTTGGTATTGTGTTAGTATTGTATTGGATTAGTATTGTATTGGGTTAGTATTGTGATGGTGTGCGGGTCTGGGCAGTTTCTAGATCTGATATAGTAGTCTTCTGTAAGTACTTCATGTATGTCTTAGAGAGTTATCTGTAAGTCCTAGAACGTCCTCTGTCCAGCTTCGTCGTATATTTATACTCTAATTGAGTCGGTTTGGCAATGGCTTATCTAAAATTGGCTTATCTAAAGTAGTAAGGAATAAATATCTAAGTTGTTTACCCATGTGTTTACTCGTTTAAAAGTAGAGGTATATCAAGATCCTCATTAAAATAGAGATATTATTTTGTATGATTGATAAGCCCGCGCTATCTGAGTATCCTCTTTTTTATTTCACAACTATATGCTGATATCTTCTCATATGAATAATGCTTCCGGTCTTTATACCCAGTGCAAACCAAAACTGGGTTTGAACTGCTCCACTGTCTACACTGTCATCCCATGTGCCAAACCTGTAGATCTAGCTGATTTAACAATAGCCAATAAGAACTTAGTTAAAGTATATCCTCCTAAACTACTTGGACAATGGATTGTTTTGAGGTTATATGTCCTGCTAGTACTGCTCAATGTGGTTTGGGGCTCGGATAGTAGTGATAGCGTAGTTATAGTTGAGCCGGCAGCAAAACTCTCGGATTTGCCTGATGCGGCGAGAATGCTTCAACTCCTGTGCTCGGTTGGCTTTGTGCCCTTGGACCCGAACCACGATCTGAAGATTACTGCGTATAAACCCGATGCCGTGCTAGATTCAGACCTCAATTCAATCCCAACTCCGACCCTAAGTTCGGCCAGCCCAATGGCAAATATCCCTCTCTATATTGTAGACTACATAGATAATGACATTGTTTTTGTACTACGCGAATGTTCATCTCTACCCCGGACTGAGGTGGATTTGAATGTACTGCAGACTATAGCTGTTGTTCGCGGTGGCGGGGCCCAAATTATTTGTACGACGCCCGATTGGAATTCTTGTCCGATTAATCTACGAGTTGTGTCCCGGGTTGTTAATATGCTTGATTGCAAGGAGCTGCATCTTCACATTGAACTTGACCGGCGCATAGAATCTTATGATCCTCTGCCTTGTTCAGATCCCATTCTACTCGAGGCCCAAAATACCATTAAACATGCCGTTTATAACTATGCGTGCCAAATTAACTTTTCAACCTCTCGGCAGACTAGACTTGTAGATTTAGTCAATAGTGGGATTGTTTTATTGCGCCCGTTTATTTGTGTTGTCTTAGAAGATAACGAATTCCAGGATATGCATCTTATTAAAGAACTGCCGCTCTCCGATTGCTACTCTATCATCTTCAGAGATATACCCGAATGGTCTAGCCTAGACTTCAACTGTCTCCGGACTTGTCTTGACAAATGCGTCTGCATCACTATTATTCTCGCCCAAGGCATACTGCTGAATCTGGCCGGTCTGGAAAGTGCCATTAAAGACTATCCAAAGCTATGTTTGAAGGCACCTGTGTGTATTCTTGCTTATCTAGGCATGCGCAACGAATCTACAATAGAGGTTCACTCTATTATAGGTATGAATTGCTCCATCGAGTCAGGCCAAGGATTGTCAAAGATCCCGTCGCAACCACATGTTTTAACTCGTTGGCTCTTTGCTCCTCTACTTGAAATCAGTATTGAGGATACTATACCTTGTCAATCCTTGCATATCTATCAATTAGTCTACACTATAGACAACTTTGCTAAATTTGGAGTTCTAGTTGATGATGTCCGTATAACCTATGGGTCTCAGCGAAAAGATCTACATCAAAGCTTATCTTTACTTTGTCGGCTCGGTGCTTTGAGGAGAGTGCCAACCCAAGTAATAAATCGTTCGATTGTGTGCAATGGCGATCAACTCAGTGATCCTAAATGGGTGCTTCAGGATCCCATCCATATTAACCTTTTGGCCATTGACCACCAAACCACTGCCTGGCTGATGAGCCGAAAGAACCCATTGCCTCACAACAAACCATACCACTCCTATATGCCCTTTTGCCAAAATATACGTTACACAGACATCTGTATTGATGGGGGCCTGGATCCACTGGAGGAAAGTACTAACCTGTGTTTGGTACTTCTATATAAGTTTCGATGCATCAATGCCAACACGCTGACACTTGTAAATATTCGTAAGACTATCTATCGTTCTGGATTTAATATAGAGTATTTCCAGCAAAGCTCAACCGTTTCCAACAAATGGAATCTCGCCCTTAATACCCTGACTTTAGACAATGTTGATGACGAAATTATCTATTGGCTGTTCGGTAATTACTTCTTTGTGAGAGAAACACAGGTGCACATTATCAATCAAGAACTCAAAAATCTTGCCATTACCTACATTCTATCTCTTCCCACCACCCAAAACATCGAATCCCTGATGGTTAAGGCCTTCAAGAAGCTAGATGAAATACTGTACATCAACCAACGGGGCCAATTCACGGACTTCACACTATTCCAGTATCAAAAGGAAATAGAACAGCGAGACGGTTCAATCGGCCATCTTAATCTACATAAAGTAATTATACAAGTCGGTGTTGTAAACTGTGGATTGTATGGTCGATTCATGATCGAGCTTTTGCGCTTAGGCATTCAACTAACATCTATGCCGATGAATATTTACATCGAATCTTTGTATCTGCATCCAGGCCGTTGCAATTATGTAGCCTTGAGTGATTTTACGCTTTATAATATATCCATGAGATTGCTGCAAAGTGATGGGCGTATCTACCTAGAACGAAATCTAGCTTTGACTCAGACACAGTCTTCCCACCTGCCACGACCTCCAAAACGACCTGTTAGTTCCCTGGTTTTGCAGTTTAATGGGGCCCAGCTCTTAACTGAAGTGAATCTACTGACTATTATTCACTGGGTTTCTTGTTGGTTCGGGGACCTAACCACTTTAACCCTAACACTTGTTCAAGTAAATGAAAGGGTATTGCATGCGATTTCTTCGCGTGACTATTTATTGGTTGGTTTAGATCGGCTTACTAGCATTCAAATCAAACGTTGTCGCCCGATTCGTCCCTCATTTGACCTACTATCTCGACCCTATCACCTCGGCTTAGCCGCTGAAACTTTAAATGCTAAGCCCGGTCTCACTATCATACCGTCTGCAGTACTAGCCCGTTTTGTTACTCGCTTAACACCACTTACCGAGCACATTCTCAAACCCATCTATCAGCAAACATCGCTATATAAAATTATAACGGATCTCAACCGCCAATATCCCATCATTAGTTGCCAGGTCTGTTCGAAAATCCTGTATACCCCAGATACTAACCCACAGAGTCAGCCTGTTTCAAAGAAACCGCGTCTAGATTTAGATAACAACTTTTCAATGATGTGCTATCTCAAGTGTGGCCATTCACTTTGTAATGCTTGTTTGAGAGATCTTCTACCAAATATTAAGTGCATCATATGCCAAGAAGTCGAGGTAGCCGACTGTGTTCGGTATCTTATGTACGTCCCCAAATCCGCCTTTGTGCTCAACGAAGCTTGCTTCCCGCTCTCCGCTGGTCTCTACGACTGGCCCAATTCTATTACATGGGGAGACGATCAACTTTGTTTGTATGTCACCTATAGACAAAAAACCGATCTCTCGCACATTATTACCAATGAGATACCTTCAAATACTTTCCAAGAAATATACGTTGTTGGAGATAGTATTCGTTCGTGCAATTCATTGGTCGCCTCTTAACAACTAACCTATTCCTTCCTTTTGCAGTATCTAAACCACTCTATTATCCTTGCCCTATTTCATCATTCCAAAACATCCCATCCCAAAACATCCCATCATAACTTTACTTTACTTTGTTCTATTTCAACTATCTCAATATTAATCCAAACTAAACCCCACCAAAATCAGAATTAAACCCAATTCAATTTCATTTTTACTTTGGATTAGACTCATTATTACTTTGATTTAGTCAACTCAAAACAACCCAAATACAGTACAATCTAAATCTACCAACAAGAAAGCGATAAATAAACTATGCTAGGTTAAATAAAGGTCTTTGAGCTGCGTTTAAGTCTATCCTATATAAACACCAACCCAATCTATAATTTATACAGATAAGGTCGAGGAAGGTAGGTTTAAAATACTACTCCAACTCGGCAATCAACCATTTGTCAATGAAACCTTCTTGATTCTTGATGCTCAATTTATTGATACCAAACTTACTAATCCAAAAAACACACTCGGATTAAGATAAGCATTGATTTAGAAAGATAATACTAAGCCAATAATACTTGCAAATTTATGGCGTAAGAGAGCCTGCGATTCTTCCACAGCTAAATTATTCCAAACAATTATGACGTAATAGGAGCTGAGGTTCAGACACACTAAATAACAATAAAGACCAATTGAGAATACTGATTGATACGAAGTAAGATGTATGTAGAGTATCCTTTTTTTGCTATTTAATGAAAGTTGTGGTTGTCTGCTGGTTATTGTATAGTTTGGTAGTTGCGCGAACAGTATGGAAGGATCCAGAGTTGCGGGGTAAAACAAGTAAATTAAAGGGCGAGCTAAGAGCTCAATACAAGACCGGACTAAGTCTGTACTATCCTTACATGGACGACCAGAATAGGTGTATCTTTGGAGATGCACTAGGAGATGCCATGGTAATTTCACGAGGAAGACAAGTAGGAGTAAGTTTATTGGCTAATCGAGAAGGATCAAGTGGATACTTAGTAGCTAAAAATGGGATATCCTTTACGAACTGGCGAGTCGATGTTTCTTTGGTTTTGAACACTGGAATTGAAGGGGTTGGGATTTGGCTAGCACCTGGTCCAATCAAGTCCGGCCAGTTATTAGGAGGGGATGAAGAGTTTACAGGACTTCTAGTTTACTTGAATGCCGAGCATGGTTCATTAAAGAAAAGGACAATGGGAGTAGCCACTCGTGAAAATGGCCGACTCAGAACTTGGATTACCGGTTCACTACCTGTGCCTTTAGATGGTATTATTCGTTTAGAGAAGCGAGGAGACTCGCTAGAACTCTCATGCGGAGACAGTACAATGAATCTAAGAAAAGTCGGGGTAATGAACGTGCATGATACTCTGCCATCTAAGGTATACTTAGCCGTATCTGCTCGAACTAGTTCTGGCCAAGGTGATGTTACTGTTAAGGCCATAGCCGTCTCTCATTTAATTGCACCGCGTGGTGTACCTGCCCAAGTTGAAGACTATACGCCCCAAACTCGTTCTTCACTTGTTTGGTTAGTCTTCTTAGTTATGATGGCCGGAGTTGGCTACTATCTTTACAGTCAGCAAAAAGGTAACGCAAGGAAGAACAAAAAGGTCCTAAGATACTAATAAAACATCTGTTAAGTCACAAATACATCTTGTCTTCAGTTAAATCAACTCAACCCAAACCAACTCAACCCAAAACACAACCCAATCAACTCAAAACATAACTTAATTCAAATCATAATTTACTTAACGTATTACGTCATAAACCTTCAAAGAGATGCTAGCTTTCTTTTTAAGACATTGCCATTCTGGGTAATTTGGCCGTTTTTGATGGGTAGCCGTTTTTGAGTAGTAAAATCAACGGCCGTAATGATACCATGGGCTGGATCAGCAGTAGAAAGAACAATCGGACCGGAATTACTCAAAGAAAGAACCCGACCAATCAGTACATCACCAGGTGAGAACATTTCGTGTAAGTGGTGCTCATCCTTAATACCATACATGGTATCTTCACGATGGATAATTCCGGGTAGAGATAGAGTAGGTAAACCTTCAATTTCAACTAATTTAACCAAAACATATGTATGGGCAATGTACTCAACTGTTGCGGTCGCCATAGCACTAACATAGGGCAAAAGAAACTGCGGTTGATAGTGAAGTTCACCAGGAAGTATCATAGTCTGGATTAAAAATTTCAATATGAAGAGTCTTATGCCCACATACACTATTCCAAATATGAGTGTAAAAGAGATTGTACAATATTTAGGAGATAATGGATTTAACATCCTAGATAGTGATATTCTTTTACCCAACAGCGGGTATGTTTGCAAGCTTTATGAAGGTGTGCTTGGGGTGTTTGCCGAGGAAAGAATAGCCGAAGGTGTAGAAGAATCAGTCGGAATTGTGCAGATCTTTGGACGAATGCGACATCTCATGGAAAGATTAGGGTTTGGAGTGTTTCAAATGAAAGATATTACTCAGCCAGAAAGTGCGCGTTTGATTAAGATCCTTAGTACAGTGATTAACTTTGGTTTGTTTAAAGAGAGTAAGCGGCATGTTTACAGTAGTATCTATCGGAAACGCGAAGAAATTGAAGGGGCAGTAGAAGAGTGCGAACAAGAGGCTCGCGAACAGAAAGAAAGGCTTAGAAAGAAGCGCCAGGAAAGAGATGCAGCTCAGAAACAAATCAAGATGTTAGCTAAAGAAGTAGCCAATCAGGAAAGTGAAATAGTGAACTTCCATCGTAATCAGCAAGCACTAGTCAATCAAATAGAAGAGATAAAACGTGAGCACAGTTCCTTACTAGAAAGAATCAATGTTGAGAAGTGCCAGTTAATTGAAGCCAAACAAGAAGTATCCCGATTACAAGCCAAAATAGTCAAAAACCCCGAACAATTGAAAGAACTCCTTATGGGTATGAAGATGCAACTTCATAATGAAGAAAGTATTCTCAGGGAGTATGAAAAGAAGATATCACACTTACACAAAAACATTGGTCAGTTTAAGGTAGCAGTTGAAGATCTAAAGTCTTTGGTTTGTACAGTATCTTTAACTGGCGAGTACAAAACTCGGCTAGATGATGGCCAGTGTGTTTTGAAGCAGTTGCAAAGTAGCAATACTAACTTGGAGATTGAAAACAATTCAAAGGAAGCGGAGAAGAACTTACTAGACCGAAAGATATCTTATATCATTGAGAAAATGAATGCCTTAACTCTGGAAGATACTGCTCGGATTGAAAGTACGCGCAAGGAATTTGAAGCCCTACGTGAGAAGCACAGTACGATTATTGCCGAAAGAGAGAGTGCCCAAGCTCTTATTCAGAAGAACAATCAGTTGATCAAAGAGTTGGAAAATGAAATAGTCAATGTTGAGGCTAAACACGAGTCTTATCTTTCCTCTGTGTACACCGAACTCCTACAACAAAAAAGCTTCCTGGCCGGCTACGCCACGGACTTGGACATGGTCTTCAAAGGTGAGTATGCCCAGTAAGAACAAATACTGCAACAAGAGCTTAACTAGGTACCGAGTTGATCTTCGTTTGGCACTTCAAATCAAAAGCCAAAGCAATAAATTGGGTTAGTATTATGTTAAGTTGGTATTGGGTTGGGGTGGGTTTGGTATTGGTTTAGATTGGGTTAGGTTTGGTTTAGATTAAGTTGGTATTAGATTGGGTTAGTATTGATATCTCTGCTAAGAGCAATGATAGTATCTAGGTTGTTATTAGTAGTGGGTTGATCTGGTTAAGAAAGGTCTTTATTCAATCGGGCTTATAAGCTATAAACGGTTACATCTTCCACTAATGAGGCTGGACTTAGGATTGGGTTAGGATTGAGTTAGCGGGTCTGCGCTGAGTTAGTACTGAGTTATCTAGCGGTGTAATAGAGTAGAGTGCGTAGTGGGGCGGTAAAGATCAACGAGTGGGTTCTACTATCTATGGATTTGGCTTGGGCTTAATACCGTGGTGCTGGCAGCCGCACTTGAGTTTCCGGGTTGGTGTGGCACTGGCTTTGGATAGAGTAGACGTATTTGCACTGTGTTTAGTAGGTGTACTTGGCATGGGTGATATAGTTGGAGTAGGATTGGTTGTAGTATTGCGAGTAGTATTGGTAATTGTGTTGGCCGTAGGATTGGTTGTAGTAGTGTGAGTAAGATTGGGAGGATGGATGGGATTGGGCACCGATGCAGTATTACTGGTCAGAGTAATGGGAGGATGGGCTGGACATGAATTAGTCGGATGGGGATTGTCTTCAAGGACTTCTTCAGAACTANATCGGAAAGGGACGAATTATCTTGGGCTCGTCTTCGTTTCCGAGATGAGAATTCTTCAATCTTACGACGCATATTCCCTTCAAATGAAATGTTCTGAGCATGTGCCGGTTCAGCAACTTCCAAAACTTGTTTGGACAACTCAATCTCTTGCACTCGCGCCCGAATATGCTTAGTAACTAGTGATACACCTTTTCTAAGAGTCGTCATCGAATATAAATTGGCACTGAAAGTTGAAATTTATTGTTGCATTCGACTGAAGTCTTTCAGGATTCTTGATCCTTCCAACTCGACCGAAACTCGATTAATGGTTAAGAGCGTATTTTTATCAGCGGCCTGAACTGTAGGTTCTCCAGGCATTTCAAAGAATTCCGATTTGTTATAAAAGATTACGCGCTTGGTAGTAATAATAGCTTCCCAGCCTTGATAGTTGTTAAGACAAGTACCACCAGTAATGTAAGTCTCTGCTTTCTTAAGATCGCCAGTAATTAAACAAGTATAAGCCCGGTAGTAGATATTCCGGCAAGTTTCGTACTCAGTTGGTTGTTGGCCCAGTAAAGGAGCTCGTGGCAGTTGAATACGCAGTAAAGGCTTACTTTCTTGTAGGGCCCCCGAGATAGTAGTAGTAACTCCTTGAGCTAAACCCATAGCTCCAGAAATAGGTTTAAGTACGGCCCCAACAATACCTTTGCCTAGACCTTGAACCATCCCACTCAGTCCACTTGATTTACTGCCTTCAATCGGACTGTGCAGTACACCTCTAAACCCACTAATTACTGAACCCATGAACTTTTCTCGGGCCTTAGACAGATGAGTTTTAGATACGGGTAAACCCATTTCTACATCATCAATGTAAATGCAACTGGTTTCATTCGACATTTCAATGAAGTTTTCATCCATAGAGATAGAGGCTAGTTTTTGGGAAATACCACCAGTAATATTACCTACTAAATCTGCGACACCCGAAACAACATTCTTAGCTAGACTTTTACCCCCACTAAGTAGTCGTTTAGAAAGTAGAGCTGGATTATCCAGGGCCCGATAAGGAGCCGAGATAAGATCATGAACACCAACTCCTAATTTATCAATCAATTCCCCAGGACTGCCTACAATATCAACGGAAAGAGCCAGAGAAACAATGTTTTTGATAATCCCGCGTTTATAAGTCTTACCGACAATTTGCAGAACTTCCGAGTACTTAGCATGTACGTCATTCAGTTGAATAGCTGGCAGGGAAATCTTGCTGTTATTAAGGTTGCAGAAGACTGAAGAAAGAGGAACAATTGATTTCTGAGGTGCTCGACGGAAAGAGAACTTGATACGAATAGGTTCAACTCGGACGTACCCTAAAGAGATGTACTGGGACTGTTTAGGAATCTGAGGGGCATAAGTGCACTTACACTTAAGCGACTCACAAAGACTGCACCTAATAAAGTACTTGGGGTTTTCAATCTCTTCAGCAACCGGCACGAAATGGGCCATAACCTTCTTCATGTACGTTTCATCCACTTCAATGGCAATGGGTAGGATCATAAGACTAAGATAGCGGCACGTACTGGGATTAACTAGCCAACCGGACAGGAGGACTGAATCGGACTGACTGGGCATATGAATGGGTACGGGGTAGATAGCTCGATTTTCTTGGTTGTCCATTTGTAAGGTGCCGACTTTAGCTAGGAATTCAACGCCATTTTGGGAGATCATCAGATTAAGGGAAATATCAAATAAATGGAAACAACTGAATTCAGATTCATGTCTATCAAGTAAACTAGCTGAAATACGAGTGAGTTGGAGTTGGATTAAAGTACCCTGATTAGTAGGTGGTGCTTCGGAAAGAGAGTCCTGAGTAAGTTGAGTTACTTGTAAGATACGCGTTCCACCCTCACTAATGAGTAAGGCCTTATAATTACCGGCTAAGACGGCAGTGAAGTTTTCCACTAGAAGAGACGTATTATCCACGAGAATGTCAAAGGCCGGGAGAGCTTTAAAACTATCCCAGTAGTAGGGAAGTTCGTCGCCGGCTTGGAGAAGGTAAGTCTTATGGTGGCCTTTTTGGCAGAAAGTCATGGGGAAGTCGGTTAAGTTACGAATGAGATAGGGCCATTTAGTCTCTTTGGAAATAGAGATAACTCTTTGGGTATTGCGTACGTGCACATTGATAGATAGGAGAATAGGAATATTATCTTTGGTCAGTTTAACGAGGTGTTTTTTGAGACCATCAAGAGGGAGATAAGAAGCAGTGGTGGAATCTTCGAGTTCAATGATGTAATCAGAGTTGCAGGAACTAGTATCTTCTTTGAAAGATGAAGGTGGAGATTGGGGTGTACCAAGACGAATCCAGGCATTAGTCTTCTTCTTAGCAAAATGAATAGGCACTAGTGTTTGGTGGCCACAGAAGAACTCGCGATCAGTGATGATAGTTAGGTCGATTCCGGTCGTATTCTCAATGACATTAGCGTACTCTACTACAATGTACCTGATCATTTCTTTACCTCCTTCTCCCTTATGGATATTCACGAGGTAGTTGTAGTTGTAATCAGCCCGAATACTGAGGAAGATAGTATTGGAGTGGATTTTAGAGCTGAAGGCACTACTCTCTTTTTTGTGGTAGATAAGAGTGTGTCGGTCTTTGGAAGTGTAGATTTCAGTTTGAGTATCGGGTTGGAGACGAACGATACGACTGCCGGAAGCAATAGCAAGGTCATCGGCGGTTTTGTTGATGGCAATAAGTTGGGGGTAGATAATGGCTTGGAAAATACCGATATCAATGAGATGACCTTGAATGGGAATAATCTTTCTCTCTTTAAGGGCATAAATACCTTTGGTAAGTGAAGTGCGATTTTGTGACTCATCTTTATGGAAGTTAATGTCAGTGTTATTATTAAGACGTAAACGGGCCTTACGAGAATCAGCAGGGTACATACCGGACATTTGCTTATTATCACCAGGATTAGCTACACCAGTAATTCTTTCAATTTGACTATTCGTATTGATTTTGATTTCAAAAGTAACTGGGGTATTGGTGAGATTGGTGATAATAAACTCATGGAAGAAAAGATAGTGCAAGACCATTTGGCCTGAGACATTTTCTAATAAACAAATAACACTGAGATAAGATTGAATATGTGCGATTTTTTGTTTGCCGACAACTTGAATCTCAGGATGACTTGTTTCTTGGGTATGAGTAAGATCAAACTCAATTTGGAAAGTTTTCTCTTCGATACTCTTATCAATTTCAATGGAAAACTTAGTAGTGGCATGGATATAACTGCACTCGGAAAAGGCCATCAGTAACATTTGGTCTTTTTGCGTTCGGATCAAGATAGTAGAATCGGTGATATTTTTGAAATTACTGGCCCCCCGGATAACAGCTGAGTCGTCTTTGATAGTGGCCAGGAAAGTCTTACCTTGCTTAGTAATGGCCTGGGTAGTATTAGGTGGATACTTAGAGAAAAGAAGTTGGCCGCTTTTTGTATAGATAGGAGTATGATCTTTGATAGTAGTTGATGAGAAAGAAACAAGCTCTAAATCGTTGATATAAAGAGTTTTGTTGGTTAAATTGGTCAGTTTGATAGTACGATTGGAAAGTTTAAGTGCATCGATCATTTTAGCACTGAGACGTAAACGTAGTACTTCCTTAACAGCAATAGCCGCAAAAGATACAAGTAAGGAATCATCATCTGCATCGGAAAAAGGCAAACTAACAAATCCAGTCTTATCTTTATAAACGGGCATATTTGGCTGGAAGTTCAGATCAATAGGGAATTGCTCAACTAAGACTTCATAGGTTAAAGTCTCCTGGTTCAGTCCGTAGGCCCGGGCGAGGGCAAAGAACTCAATGTTCTCATCAACCACCAAGGCAATCTGCTGGAGTTCGAGTTTAAGTTGCGGTTTAGGAATACTGAGTTGCACGGATGTACATTCAATCTTAAGCAGACCATTGGGTGGTTGGGGATACTTCTGACTCTTTTTCTCCTTATGAAGTTGGGTTAGGAAGAGTTGTAGGTTTTCGCATTGGAGTTCAGTTTGGAGGGATAGTTCGAGTGGTGAAAGAGAGATAGTGAGTTCACTTTTATCATAGGCCGAAGATCGAATAGTGATAGTAGCTGGCTGGGGTGTAATTAGTTCCTTATCTATATTTAGTTGGAGATTTAAGCGATGGTAGTTGTTAACAGTAGCTAGATCGGTTAGAAGGAGTTCAGTACCTTCTGCATTAGCAAGTGAGATAGTACTGGCTTTAGCTCGGACTTCCAAATAAGAACTTACCCAAGGCATGCCATACCGATGGTCTTTACCCAGGAAAGCAGCTTGTAAATCCAAAATAGGAGCAATAAACGTAGTAGCTGTAATAACAGGAATATCAACGGATAAAATCATAGTTAATGGGTTAGTTCGGGCAAACTCAACTTGCAAATTAGGAATAGAACAAATCAACTGATCATTATCTTGGGCTTCAATCTCTTTAAGTACGACTTGCCCGAAATAGTTAGTGGTTTTAGTCATAGTGAATTCAGCCTGGGCACTAAGACTAAGCAAGGGCGTATTCCTTTCCTTAAGAAGTATTTGACCAGAGGCAGTTAAGGCAATCTTCATGGGATCTTTAGTGGATAGTTCAGGCGTATTTTCATCTTCATGCTCAGTAAGAATGCAGTAGCCAATCAGAAGGAAAAGAGCCCGATTAAGAGAGAAGACATAAAGATCAGAAGTTAAGCTACCAGAGGCCGAGAAGTGGCCCTGAAGAGTTCTATCTTGGCTATTAAAGACAAAGTTCTGGCTAGAGATAAGAAGTGCTTCTTGGTGGTTGATAGCAGTGGCTTTAAGAGTCTGAATGGCTAAGGAGTGGGTAGTATTCTCAAGTACAAGTTGTTCAATATGGAGTAGAGCTTGGCAGAAAGGATGGTAGAGATGGACATTGGAATTAAGAACATCTAGAGTAAAGGGTTGGGATGGAGAAGTGTTGGTATCTGAAGGGGAAGTATTAGTATCAGAAGAGGTACTAATAGATTGTAGAGCTGCTTCAATTTCGTATAAGATAGCAATAATAGTATCGTCATCTGGTGGATAGATATCAGCATTGGCAAGGGAAAGGTTTGGCGAGGCTTGAGATTGGTAAGTCAGAGGGCCAAGAGTGAGTAAAGGTTTAGCCAAGTAAGTAGCTGAGAGAGTAGGAATTAAGAAGCCAAGGGAAGTGATTTGCACTCTTTCTAATAAGACTTGGAGATTGTGGCCATTCATAAGTACTGATAATTTGATCTTATCCAATTGAGCTGATATTGATGTAGAAGGTGAATTAATAGATTGTTTTGATTTAGATTGTTTAGATTGTTTAGATTGTTCAATTTGTTTGGGGAATAGGTGTGAGATAAGATCTTTTGTATCAATAACAGCTGAATGAAGAACAGTCACTGTAGGTTGAATACTTTCTAAGAGGGCCAGACTTAAATCATTAACTTTGATTGTATCTAAATATCCTAGAGAAATACTACCTTTAAGACTAGCTCTTTCTTGCGACTCATTTTGAAGCACAGTAAGTTGGCCATCAGTAGCAAAGTTTATCTTCTTATCAATATGCATGACTGTTAAAGAAAGGTTAAGATGGGCAGTGGTATTAGGCATCTCTAAAGCAACATCTAGTTGATTAACAGCCGCTACAATATCAATTCTTTCTTCTACTGATTTCTTATCACTCGTATCTACTAATTTCTTATCATTTGTATCTACTGATAAGTCTGTATCTTCATTAATCGGATCGGATAAATGTTCGGTTGACCAAAGAGGTGCTAGTTTAGCTTGAATAGTACTGAAACTTTGTTGCACTCTTATCAAATCAGCTGATTTTAACTGGCACTTAATAAGATCAATAGCTAGATTAATATTCTTATGCGGACCATTGAAACTGCCTAAATCTACTTGGCACTCGTCTAGTCTGGCCTTAGTAATATACTTAGTACTGCCATCACAATCCTTATCTGCACATTCTTTTTGTTCAACCAATGCTAAGTTAGTTACTATCTTAAATTCATCTGAATCCCGGTAAACACGTGAAGTCTCTACTTCCAGAGCATACTCCTCCCAGCCCACTAGACCTCTTACTTGCACTACTACCGGTTCACAACGAATATCAAGATCAGTAAACAGTTTAGGTACTTGTTCACTATCTTGTTGTTGTTCTTTTTGATCATCACGTCTATCTTGACTACTTTGGGTTAGATAAATATCTTCATCCTGCACTATTCCATCACTTATCTTTGTTTGGTTTTTGTTTTGATTTTTGATCAAATTGATAAGTTTAAGTACATCTTGGCCAGCCACTCGATCAATATCTACTAATATCCGTTGTAAATCTCCCGTAGCAACTACTTTCTTATCGGCCATGACCAAACCACCAGCTATTCGTTCCATCTTAACTCCAAACATATCCAGTTGTCCATCAGCTAACTCCAAACTGATTCGCTCGCCATCTCGTGATACTTTCAAACCGTTCATAACCAGCCAGTGCTTATCTGCCAATTGCAAACTTAACTTACACTCGCCTACTTCAAAAATCAAATACTCAGTTAAGATCTCTACTATCTTACGAGATACCCAACTAACTATCCCCATACTAAACCCACCACTCTCTAACTCCTCAGGCCGACTCAGTCCAGTCCCACAAGCAAAACACACTTTAGATCTAGCACATAAACAACAAGAACCATCTAAACTTATCTCTAAAGACTCAATACGTACTTCACTTGCTGCACCAGATATATACCAAGGAATATTCAGTACAACTCCTTTAACCAACAAACCATCACTTTCTCTCACTTTTAAACCCAATTTCTCTTCGATTATCTGACTTTTAACCCTCATACGCTCTACTATTATAACACCGCGTAGAAAGTCACAAATTACATCACTTTCTTCTATCGGCTCAATTCTTTCACTTAAGACACAATTTAGACGCTTAAGTACATATCGCTTTATAGACTGCATGACAAAAGACTTGCAAATTTTGAGGGTTTTATATATGCTAATTCCACAACACTGTTTATTAATCATCTGTAAACTGTTCAATAGTTGCTTTGATCTTTGATCCTTCCCTCCAAGTAATGTAATCTTCCATAGCTCGGCTGATTATCAATCCAGGATCGTTTATAATCTGTGTACCTACTTTGATATGGCCGTGTTTAATAAAGTTGGCGGCTGTTTTGATATCTGGAACCATTTTAAGATCAGCAACAATAGTTGATAAACGGCGGCGGCAAAAAGAACTTACTCCTACTTTAGCACAATCTAGTAGACTTTTACCTTTAACAAGTCCAAGTGTATGTAGTTTAGCTACTAGTTCTTTGACCATTTGGATTTTGACGTCATCATTGTCATTGAGTTTAGCTAAAGCTAAAGCTAGTCTTCTAATCTTACCGACGACTAAGGAGTATCTTACATACGTTTCTCTGTCCTCTAACTTGAATCTTTGAGTGATTAAGTGTTCTCTTTGGGATGAAGTACCTTTCCAATCTAAGAGATCTACTTTACGAAGTAACTTCTGTTCATGATACTTTAAATGACGCATAAAAAAATCTGGCTGAATCTGGCTATCAGTTTTATGTTGAGATAAAGAAGCTATCTTTTCTTATCTAGTTATTTAAAAAGCTTTAGTAAGTTAAAGTGAAGATGACGTCAATAAAAACAAAAAGAAAGTTTAGCCCTTATCAAAAAGGCTGTAATTGGTTTTGTTTTTTATTTAAGATATCACATGTCCCCATTAGATTAAGATAAGTTTGAGTTGGGTTGAGTTGAGTTGGATTGGGTTGGGTTTAAGATAAGTTGAGTTAAGATAAGATAAGATAAGATAAGATAAGATGAGTTTAAGATAAGATAAGCATTGGGTTGGTTTTTGATAGGGATTACTATTCCAAAGCAGCAACATAATACTAAAATGAATACCAACTCAATGCAATACTAAACTCAATACTAAACTCAATGCAATACCAAGATATAACTAGTGAGTGAGTGATACCCTGAGGTGGTGGTTTAGGTTGAAGTGGTAGAGGGAGTTGAATTGAGAAGACTAGTGAGTGATTCAATAATATGACTGCGAAGAATGGTTTGTTTCTGGCGGTTACTCTTATCTCCCCAAAGAAGTTGGCACTGACCTTGCTCTAACTCTTTCTGACCAATAAGAACTAGTAAACGAATGCCTTGTGCATCGGCATACTCGGCATGACGGGTAAAACTATTGGCTGTACCCATGAAGTACTCAGTAGCAATATTATGACTGCGCAAGTAAGCACAAAGTCGGATTCTTTCTTCAAGCATATTTGGACCTACTGAACAAACAAGCACCTCAGTAGTAGAACTCTTACTAGGTAAATCTAGTAGTCCAAAGATCCGATTAACACCTAAACTCAAACCCACACACTTAATTGCCTGTGGGGTTTTATTCGGGCCTAAATTACCTTCAACTAAACCACTAACCAGTTCATCATACCTCCCACCAGCAATAACACTCCCAGGACAGTCCACATACCCACCTTCCACTAAAATACCCGTATAGTAGTCTAAACCTCGTACTAGACTTAAGTCCAAAACCACGTCATCATCAACACTGTAAATAATCAGCAGTTCGTAAAGTCGCTCTAAATCAGCTAAAGCCGCAGCTCCTGATTCAGTCTTTAGTAAAGGCGTCTCTCTTAATTGGGCCAAAATAGATAAGGGACCTTTAATACCAATAAATTGCTTAAGAGATAGAACCATTTCCTCAGTTGCCCCTTTAGCAACCATTTCCTGGGCAACTTCTTCCCAGCTCAACTTATCTAACTTATCAATAGAACTGCCCAATGTCCGTTGTAAAGATAAAGGTACACCAGCCACTTCCATAATACTATCCACTAACTTCTTGTGGTTCAGCCGCATGACAAACTTACGGTCACCCATCAGTTTAGCAAAGTACCGCAAGATTTCACAACCCGCACTTACTACTTCCACATCAGCAGTCATCCAGGCATACTCCCCGACAATATCAAAATCACTTTGAAAGAATTCCCGGTATCTTCCTTTATTCATGGCCGGCTGGTCACGACGGAAGACTTTCCCTGTCTGATATCTCTTGATCTTAACCGTTTTAGTTTGGGCTAAATACCGGGCAAAAGGCACAGTAAGGTCATATCTTAAGGCACAGATTTCACCACCTTGATCGGCCAAGTCATAGATTAGTTTTGTATCTTCGCCATACTTGTTCATTAAGATTGATTTCATCTCAAACATAGGTGTATCTAAACCGATAGCACCCCTACTTTTATAAATACGTTCAGTTGTTTCAATTATACTATCTAGTAAAGCTTTTGATTCGCCAATATAATCGCGAGTTCCTTTAGCAGTTTTCAGAGTTGAGTCCATGGGCAAAAAACCAGCAATTTCTTTTTCAACCCATGCATGCCCACTTGGAACGTATTAAGCATATCCAGCAAGAAATGCACAAGTTACAGTCCAGATCCGAGCGATTGAAACAAGCTCTCAAAAAGGAGATAAAGGAATTTCAAAATCAAACTGAAGTAACTGACAAAAAATCAAAAGAATTGATTAAAAAAGCGAAGGTAGAGATTGCCCCTAGTATTTGTCTCAAACTCATTCTTGGCATCCATGAACTCAAACTCCCTGAACGCGCCCGTCATGCCTACAAATCCGACTATGAAACCTTAAAAATGACTTCTACTCTTTTTGTGACCGTTTTAACAGCGGCTAATCTAGTCCTTTTCCGTAGTAAGCTTATGGATACGTTGCAGATTCTCATTCATATGTACATATACTCGACTTTAACCATTCGCGAACATATTCTGATTAATAATGGTAGTAATATAAAAAGATGGTGGTTGGTTCACCATTATATCTGTATTGTTATTTCTGGGATGATGTTGTCCTGTCCTGATGGTCCTTTTAAACAGATAAGAACGGTTATTTTGAAGTTTTTGTTTTTGTTATCAATCTCACAGGTAGTTCAGTATCAGTACCAAAGAAGAAGACTTTATGTACTTAGGTCTTTGGAAAAAGCTGATCCCTTAGAAACTACTAGTGATGTAATGAGTGCCTCTTTATCAGCTAATTTTGGAGTTGTCTCTTTGGTTTTAGTTGGCTTCCAAATTATTCAACTTTATGTGGCCTACTATCTTTATACTTTACATTGTCAATACCAATGGCGACATTATCAGCCACTAGTTGGTGCTTTATTGATTGCTACAATGGCTATTGGTAATGCAGTAACTATTATCTATACTTTCTACAAGAAGTTAGCTATGCGCCGTACGGCTTAGAATAAAAAAGAGGCGGTGGTTTCCCGCTCCCGCCAAGTTGACTTCATATATAGCTAAGTTTGTGTTGGGGCATGTCTTTAGAGAAATGGGCTGGAGTTGAAGTTTTTGATACTTGCCCGCCATCACCTCAGTCTTTTCTGGACTTAGCTGAAGGAAGTGAGGGTTTTGTTGCCACCGATGAGTGTTTAGTTGACGGTCTAGTGGTGAGTAATAGAGTAACTAAGACTGGGAAGAGTAGTAAACGTAAAAAGAAAGGACTGCCTAAGTATGTTAAGCATAAAGAACTGTATGAACGTGATTATTCTAAGCTAACTCAAAGACAACTACTAATGGTACTTAGACAGCAAGGCTTAGAAACAGAGACTATTAAAGAATGGGATAAGGAGACTAAACTTCTACTCCCGGGAACTTTAGCTGAGAAAAGAACGAATGAGAAACGCATAGTTGGAAGTAGATCTATACGTAAACGCAAGGGACCTTTACCCCCTCTTAAGAAGCATAGTCTGCCTAAGTTTACGACTAAACCGGCCGAAGTAAGTGGCGTAGGACATTCATCTACTACGACTACTGAAAGTACAACTGAACTTAGAGACACAAGTAGAGTTGGGGTTAGTATTGGGTTAAGTAAAGCTCAATTATACAGTTGTACTTATGGTGAGTTATTGAGTTTAGTAAGTAAAGAGATTAATCGGCATACGTGTTCTATTCAACCGGCCTTACGTACATTAGAGAAACGGCTTAAGACTATTATTAGTCATCCGCATGAGTATGCGCATCTTCATACACCCAGTGCTCTTGCGGCCAATCAAACGCACTTTAATAATCTCATTCAATCCCAGTCTACTTGCTGCCAGCAAACTTCTCGTCCGCACTTAATGACTCCGGCCATTCAGCCACTTAATGTCTAATTAAGACGAGTTGGTGTAAAGTGGTGTTAGGTGAGGTTAGATGAGGTAAGGTTAGGTGGGGGAAGAATTAGATAGGATCAAGTTGAGTTATAACTAGGCAAGACCAATAAATATACTATATTACTAGAATTAAGTTTAGATTGGGTTGAGTTTAGTTAGTGTTAGTGTTAGTGTTAGTATTAGTATGTTTATGTCTATATGGGTAGTGAGCATATTTCAAATACTAAGCCACTAGAACTCAAACCATTGTATCATACCAAGCCTAGACACTCACATATTGCAACTAAATATCCCATCCTAACATAGCATAACACAACCCAACTCAACTCAACACAACCCAATACATAACTAAATACTCTACTATTTATTGGACTAGTTTGAACTGTCTGGTTAACAAACTAGAAGTACACAGCCCTAGTAAGAGTTAAGGGCCTACTCAATCCATTTGTACTCTTTCTGGATAGCTGCTTCATCTCGAGCTCCTTTCTTAGGAATAGATAAGTACCGCCTTATCTCTTCTGTTGTTTTCTCTTTCAATGCTTCAGCAATCACTTTACAACAGATCTCTAATAGTAAAGGCATATGCAAGTAATTAGCGGCAGCTGTGATTTTAAAAAGCATAAGATTATCTACTTCAATAAAAGCCCTATCAAAATCACTAAGCAAAACATCAACTACATTGTACTCCTCAGCTAATTCAGCATCTTCCTCATGACTGCGCATAAACTCCACTATCTTCTCAAAGACTTCTCCCTCCACTAAAAGCTCCGGACCCCCTTCAGGAACATTCGTCTCTTCAGCTAAATGTCTCAATAAGATACTTTGCCTATACATCTTTTCACTCAGCCTAAATTGCCTTCCATCTGAAGTTGTTACGTTCATCCCAGCTGATACCCCAAATGTTTTAAATTGAAACTAAAACGTCCCGAAGATTTGCCAGATATGACTCGAGAACAAAAAGCAAGGCAAGATTTAAGCGATCCACCCACTACAAGCACAAGCCAAGTCATTTTTGGTGATAAAATAGCATTTATAGACTTCCCAACTCTGATCTCTCTCGATGAGTTCCTCCGCCGAGCTATCATTGGTGTAGCTTCTTCATTATACGGCTCATTCGCATCCGTCTCCGCCCATGAAATAGATCTCGGCGAGTACAAAGAGTTTACCTTCTACCTTGAAGATCTAACCGGTCGCAAAATCCCACTAGAAGGCAAAGCCCCAGAATTCCGCACAATCCTCCGTTTCTTCTCCTACCGCCTTACCCTCCACATCTACCTAATGAACACCCAGCCCTAAACCACCCACCACTCACCCACCACCACTACCAACCAACCAACCACTCCTTACTAATCATAACAAGCACCACCACTATCTCAACCCCAAACAAAACACCATCATATTAAGATTAGATTGAGTTAGGATTGTTTTGATTGAGTTAGGATTGTTTTATGTGAGTTTTTGATAAGATTTATGTGAGTTTTATCTACGCTTTAGATTAACGTATTACAACCTAAACCGTACATAAGCCAACACAGTCTATCTAACAACCTAACTCAACCCAACCCAATCCAACCCAACCCAATCCAATACTAAACCCAATCCAACCCAATATCTTACCATTTTTTATTTTAACCCTTGTATGGCAGCTACAAAGTCTTCTCGTCCTAAAGTCTTCTTTGATATTACTATTGGTGGTCAACCGGCCGGTCGAATTGAAATGGTTTTAGATTCAGATATTGTCCCTAAAACAGCTGAGAACTTCAGGGCCCTTTGTACTGGTGAGAAAGGGTTTGGATATGAAGGGAGTATCTTCCATCGGGTTATCAAAGACTTTATGATTCAAGGTGGTGATTTTACTAATCGTAATGGTACTGGAGGTAAAAGTATCTATGGGATGAAATTTGCTGATGAGAATTTCAAACAAAAACATGATAGTCCGATGCTTTTGAGTATGGCTAATGCTGGTCCTAATACTAATGGATCTCAATTCTTTATTACTACTGTTGTTACTCCTTGGTTAGATAACAAACACGTTGTTTTTGGCCGGGTAGTTAAGGGTGAGGAAGTAGTACGTAAAATTGAGTCGGCTAAGACCAGGCCAGGAGATAGTCCTATTAATGAGATTATGATTAAAAAGTGCGGACAACTTGATGAATAAATTGGGTTTAAGTTAAATTGGGTTAAGATTTAGATAAGATTTGGTTGTGGTGGGTTTTGAGTGGGGTGGGTTGTGTTTAGATTGAGTTATGGCGTGGTTGAGTTTAGATAAGATTTGGGTTGAATTGAGTTAAGATAAGATAAGATTTATATACGGTTTAGATTGGTTTAAGTTGTGGTGGGTTTAGATTGGTTTTGGTTTAAGCTGTGTTGGTTTATATGAGGATTTAGATAAGATTTAGATACTGTTTAGATAAGATGAGGATTTAGATAAGGTTTGGATAAGATTTGGATAACCCAATACTAACCCAATCAAGATCAAAACAGGTTTAGAAACCAAAAGTAAAATCAAAAGTAAAAGTAAAACTGAATTTAGATAGTATTATATTAGATTGAGTTGGTTTAGTATTGGGTTGGGTTAGTGTTAGATGGGGTTGAGTTGAGTTGGATTGAGTTGAGTTGGTAGTGAGATAGTGGAGTTAGGGAGTGAAGGGGTGGTAGTGGGGGGAGAGGGAAGAGGGGAGAAGGAGAAGAGGGAGTAAAGAGGAGTTTCAGGTTGATGCTCTTATTTGGTCCAAAGAAAAATCCAATGGAAAACAATCGGATTAGCCGGGAATTGTGTGTTAGTGAGAATTTGGCCGAGACTGGAAAGGTTTCTGAAGAAGAGATAGTGGAAGTTCTTAAGTATCGATATGAACGGGGACAGATTTATACATTTGCTGGTCCGGCTTTGGTTTCGGTCAATCCGATTGGGTTGGCTGGTCGTGGTTTAGGAGTAAACAATGCTGAAACTGGTGACGTACCAATGGCCCATGTCCTGGAGATGGCTAGTCGGGCTCGAGCTGGTGCTTTGAAAGGTCGAAGCCAAGCAATTATCTTATCTGGTGAATCTGGGGCTGGTAAGACAGTGAATGCCAACCGGATTCTGGCGGATTTAGGAGGATCGGCGGCTTTAGGTCGGTGCTTGAACCACTCAGCAGCTGTTTTGGAAGCTTTTGGGAATGCTTGTACGAAACATAATGAGAATTCATCGCGATTTGGGAAGTATGTAGAAGTATTCTATCAAGGGGGAGTAGTGAGTGGGGCTCGAATTAGAGTCTTCTTATTGGAGAAGAGTCGGGCACCGGCTTTAGAGGGTAACTTTCATGTCCTGCAAATGATGCGGGCGGGAGTAGTACAGGGCTCAGAAGAAGGCTTGCAGGGAGTAGAAAGAGTATTTGGATACTGCCGGGCTATGGGGTTAGCACGAAATACGCGGCTAGATCTATTCCGGGTCTTACTTAGCTTAGTAATGTTATTGGAAACGAAGTTAGTAAGTAATGGGGAGAAGTGCTGGTTTCAGAACAAGCCGGAAGAAGTAGTGCAGATGTTGGGTTTAGAGAAAGATGCTTTAGATCGGCTGGTGCTGCAACGAGAGATTGTGGTGGGTCGGGAAGTGATTGTAAGATCTCGTAGTTTGGCTGAAGCTGAAACAGTCCGGGAGACATTGATTCGAGCGATGTACGAACGCGTGTTTGCTTGGTTGGTAGAAGAGATTAATCGGGCTTTAAGTACTCCGCCTTTGGAAGTAGTTGATGATTCTCCGGAATCATTTAGTGCTCTAATGAGTGCAGCTATTCAACGCCAAGTAGATCTGCTTAAGATAAAGGAGGATGAGAGTGATAGAGATAAGAGTGATAGAGATAAGAATGATAGAAATGAGAGTGGTGGTTTTAATTCGGCTGGTGAGTCATCTAGTAATGAGTATTTAGAAGGAAGTACGGCTAAGATTGGAGTTCTGGATATTTATGGCTTTGAAGTACTGGATGATAATGGATTGGATCAACTATGCATTAACTATGCGAATGAGAAGATGCAAGCTGAGTATTTGCGCCGAGTTGTGGTTGAGAATAGAGATGCGTTTCTGGAAGAGGGAATTGTGCTGGATAGAATGCCAGAACCACCTCGAGCAGAAGACTTATTTGAAGGACCGATGGGTTTGGTTCAGTTGTTAGATGAAGAGTCTTTCTTACCGGGTGGTAGTTCTCGGGGTTGGTTACAGAAGATTTCTCATGCCGGTCTAGCTCGGACTCGTGGGGATACTTTTGAAATTGAGCACTATGCTGGCCAAGTGACCTATAATGCCTGTGACTTTGTTGAGAAGAACCGTAATGCGTATGGTGAGATTTACGACCTACTTAACCAAACGGGCATTCCAGCTCTGTGCACTAAACAGAGTTATCGTGGGAAGATGGCCAGAGTAGGTGTGGTCGGGGAGTTTCAAAAGAGTCTGCAAGGTCTGCTTCAAGAAATAGATCAGTGCGAAGTCCATTATGTACGCTGTCTTAAGCCCAGTAGTACAAATGAGTTCTCAGAAGAGTATGTGCGCAATCGTCTAAGAGATGCCGCCGTCTTTGAAACGATCAAGATCTACATGCTAGGATTCTTTGCCCGCATGGATAAGACTATCTTCACTCAAACGTATGGTGAAGAACCTCCCGAGCATACAGGTATCCAGATAGGAAGAAAACACGTCTTTATTACACAGGAAGCCTACCAGGTCCTTGAAAACGATAGAGCAGCTCGACTTCTGGCAGAGAAGCTAGAGAAAGAGAGATTGGAAGAGGAAAGGTTGGAAGAGGAGAGGCTAGAGAAAGAGAGATTAGATAGGGAAAGATTAGAGAAAGAGAGATTAGAGAAGGAGAGATTAGAGAAGGAGAGATTAGATAAGGAGAGATTAGAGAATGCCAACTTAAAAGATACTAAAGTAGATACTAAAGTAGATGCTAGAGTAACAACTCAAGAAGAGACCGATCTAATTGCATCCCAGACATCTAAACAAACAATTTACGAGATAGTAAAATTATCACAACAAGAGATGATAGAGAAGAATAGACCGATTGAAACTATCCTTGCACTAAGTGCTAATACACCTGCTCTCCCTACCCAGCCACCCAGTATCGAAGCAGTCGATCTGTTCATGCGCACACCCGAACCTTTCTATGATTCCAAAGAAACCAATGATTCTGAAGATTACATCAAGTCCTTCCAGTACCCTCCTCTTACCTCTGAATGCACCAACTGTGCTGCCATTGAAGAGAAATACGCCTTCCAGACTAACCACTTGATCTGTAAAGAGCAAGAAATAGAGAGTCTCAAGGCAGAAGCCCTGCGAGCCACAGAAACTATCAAGGAAAAAGACCTTCTTGTCCAAGAACTCAGCCGTAAAGTTGAACTTCTTCTGCGCGAACTTTCCTCTGGTGAGTACTCCAAAGTCTCAACTAATCCCCACACAACTATTCCTCTGGAGACTAAAAAGTCTCTAACAGGACTCTTCAAACGAATCTGCCAACTCTTTGTGGAATCTATTCCTTCCAGCTATGAGTCTTATCACCAGTCTGTCTGTTGTGGATTTGCCCTTATGCGTGCAGCGGCTGCTTGTCCTGGTGGTCTTCCTACGAATGCCCAACCGGCCTTTCGAGTCTTTGAAGCCAGTGCCCATAGCGTACTTACTAGCCGGCGTATTTCACCAGCCATTGCTTCTGGGTTCTTCCTAGCCAATGCCGTGTTCCTGGCCCGAACTAGACCGGGTAAACCCACGTCAGATATGTTGCAAGGCATCTTTTTTGCCAGCTGTCGGGCTCTTTCCGAAGAGATTGCTGGGTTCGGTATGGAGTTTCTTTTCAAATCTTCGACCTTTGAACCGGCCAATATTCTGGCCCGCCTCTTGAAAAAGCCCTCCATTGAATCGGTGATTTCCCATCTTAAAATGGTTCATTCTGTCCTTTCCCGACACCGCGTGCCCAAATCCGTTATTTCAGCTATCTTTGAGTACATTATCAAAATTATAGACACTCAAGGTTTTGAATATCTTATCAAAAGAGACAAGAAACTCACCACTAAAAACCTTCTTCATTTAGACCGAAGTTTGGACTCTTTATCCGAATCCTTAGTCGATATGCAAATAGAAGAGCCATTCCGGTCTTTTGTCTACCTCCGTGCCTTTCTCCACTTTGTCGCCATGCAAAAGGATGGTCTCTTCCCCAGCCCAGTCTGTCTTCAAATTGGGATTCTAACTGCCTCCCAAACCCTAGCTGCCATTAATGTGCTAGCCCCCGAAGCCAAAGGCGAGTCCCTACATAAACTCGAAAAGGCCCTTCAAGCCACCGCCGGAGTCCCCGAGAAACCAACAGTTCCCTGTCCAATTCTATCCGCCCCACTCAACTATGTGGCCGATGACCCAGATCTTCTCTACAATGCTCTGTTCTTCTGTCCCCAACGCCCAGCCATCTGTGAGGCCCTCCAAGACTTCTCCATCTCCACCGATTGGCTAGACAAATAAACCCTTAATCGTTAACTATCCACTACAGCTTATTATCATTATAACCCACTACAACTTATCATTATAACCTACTACAACTTATTATAACTCACTACAACTTATTGTCATTATAACCCAAATCACTCTACCTTTAAACAACACTAGAACACAAACACACTAGACGACATCAACTTAAGTATTACACAACTTAAGTATCACACAACTTAATCATCACACAACTTAATCAAATCAAATCACAAACACAAACACAACCCAAACCAAACCATAACATAACATAACACAACACAACCTAATCTAATCTAATCCAATGTTTATTTGCCGACCCCGTTTTTTCTGCTGATGGATATTGCCTTCTCTGAAGCCGAAAAAGCACTATCATTAGAAGAAGTCCCAATCGGTTGTGCCATTCTCTACCAAGGCCATTGCCTCGAAAAAGCCCACAATCTCACTAACACCCGCAAAGATCCACTCGCCCATGCCGAAATGATCGCTCTAGCTCGTATTCCACCCCATCTTTATCCAGAGATCGAACTTTTTATCACTTGCGAACCCTGTATCATGTGCTGCGCACTCATTCATAAACTCGGAGTCCAAAAAGTCACTTTTGCCTGTACCAATACCCGTTTTGGTGGTATCTCAGTATTTTCAGTTTCAAAATTATTTCCCAATTTGGAAATCAAAATCACCCAAGATATTTCCCAAGCCAAAAAATCATTAGACCTACTTAAGACCTTCTATCAACTCGAAAACACTAGGGCGCCACCAACCAAACGCAAGTTTAAACCCCAAATCGCCAAAAAAATTTGCAATGTCCCAATCAACTCCCACTGACTCTTCCACTAAACAAGTACTTAGTCCCGCTGTTAAACAGATCGAGTTCTATTTTAGTGATGCTAATATTGTCCGTGATAAGTTCCTTTTGAGTCTCCTTCAATCTAATCAAGGCTGGGCCCCTCTTCCTATCATTAGTAAGTTCAAAAGAGTCGCCGCTTTCAATCATACCGACTCAGAACTAGCCCAACTAATAGAAGAACAAAGTACTAAGCTAGAAATATCTGAAGATAAGATTAGACGTAAAGATCCTATTCCAGCCAGTTACAACCCCAATCTTAAATCAGTTTTAATCAAAGGCTTCCCAACTGAGCTGACTTTAACACAAGTTGAAGAGTTCTTAAGTCCTTATGAGAGTAAAGTAGCTAGAATTACTTTACGTAAAGATGCGCAACAGTTATTTAAAGGTTCTATCTTTGTGGAGTTACAAACGGCTGAACAAGTAGAAGAGTTTTTAAAATTAGATCTTATCTATACTTATGATACTCCAGTTGAAGAGACTGAAAATGAAGCTGGAAATAGTAAGAAACCAAAACTAGCTACTTATCCTTTAAGTATTCATGCAGTTACTGAGTACTTTGCCCAGAAGGGAGAGGAGAAGAAGCTTATCAAAGCTCAGAAGAAGGAAGAGGCCCGTCGTGAGATAGTTAGTAGGTTTTATGGTAAGATCTTTAAGTTTAGCATAGCAGCTGCTGATCCAGCTAGTGAAAGTACTGAGCAGGGTACTTTAGATGAACAATTAGCCACTATCAAAACTTCTGAGATTAAGCAAGCTCTTGATGGTAGTGCGGCTTTCGTTGATATTCCTAATAAGCACTTGCGCCTCAAGAACGTGCAAGAATCAGTTCCGGCCTTAACTATCAACCAAATAACCCTAACCTTTACGAAGTTAACTGAAGCTGAGGTTGATCAGTACTGCCAAGGACTTACTCTGGACAAGAACAAGTCCCTGCATAAGCCAAGACCCGGTCGTAGGTAAGTGTGTTTTTAAGACCACTATCTTACCTTAACAACCATTATCATTATCATTAAATGCATTATTTGGGTTTATTTAAGTGTAGATTGAGTTTGGGTTGAGATTGAGTTTAGATTGGGTTGAGTTGTGTTGTGTTTAGATTAGATTGAGTTGGGTTGTGTTTAGATTAGATTGAGTTGTGTTGAGATTGTGTTTGGATTAGATTGTATTGAGTTTAGATTAGATTAGATTGAGTTAGTGTGTGGTGTGCCAAGAGTGTGTTTAAGTGGATGAAGGTCTAAGTAGTTATGGGTGTTTATTGGGTTAGTTAGTCTAAAGGAAAGCATGTTAGTATTTAGATGCGACTAAGTGAGATTAAGTGAGATTAAATTGAATAAATATGAGTATAAAACAATTATGTATTCCGTACAAATTTGAGTTTAGATTAGGTTTTGGTTTTAGTTTTAGTCTGAGTTATTAGATAGATCTCTTGAGTTACTAGCACAATACTCAACCCAGTAAGACATTTAAATACGTCATCAACTACTCACTCACTCACTCACAAAGACCTAAAGATTAAGATAAGTTGAGTTGAGTTAAGTTAAGATTGCATTAACCAAACCTAATCTAAACATAATACAATACTAACATAACACAATCTAATTCAAAACAAAAACAAAAACAAAGATGCAATTACTCAACACAAGTTAAATTAAGATTAAGTTAAGTTAAGTTAAGTTATGATTACGTTAACCTAATCCAAACCCAACCCAATCTAACCTAAATCTAATACAATAAGTAAATCAAAAACAAAAACAAACCCTAGAATTATCTTAATACCCCAACTAACCCCAACACAAACCAGATACTAAACCAATACTAAACCAATACCAATCTCAAATTCAATGTTAGATATCTAAACCTAAGCCAAATAAAGCAAATTCTTTGTTTTTTAAAAGCAATGGAAAGAGTCAGGAAGATTTCAGAGTCATATCCACTTTTGAAGCAAATTGAAAAAGCTTCTAGTGGCCAAGTAAAAGGTGAGCATTTGTTTATTGCTATTGCAGGTGTTCTCTTTATTAGTCTATTTTGCAAGTGTATTGCTAGTCCAATAACCAATCTATTTGCAGTTCTACTGGTGATTGGCCAGGCAACTGCTATTATCACTAGTAAGACTCCAGTTGAACCAGCTCGAGTTAAACACATTATTTCTTATCTACTTACTTTCTCTTTGTTTGTTACAGTTGATTCTTTAGTACCTTTTGCCCATCGTAATGTTCCTTTTTACTATCATGTTAAGTTAGTCCTCTTTTACTATCTATCGATAAGGAATTATCAAGTAACTGATTACTTAAATAGTACTCTTTACTTACAAGTCCAGGAGTTAGTTAGACGGTTAAATGAGATTGATCCAAGTGCGACCATTAAGGCGGCTAGAACGGCAGCTAGTGAGAAGGTTAAGGACTTGTCTGAGACTGTCAAGGGAGCAGCAGCCAGTAAACCTGCTAAAGAGGAATAAATGAGCCAATTGGCTACTTGAGTTACTAGGTGGATTTTAATTGGAGTTGATGTTTGGAGTATGCGGGATAGGACTAAGGAGTACTTGGCAGGGTATGGAATGGCTCGGCAGATGGAGTATAGGCGGCGGCAGGAGGTTTTAGAGCGGTTGGTGACTTACCAGGGTCAGAATGGCCGGGTGGGTGAGTTGGGGTATGGAGTGGGAGAATTACTTTATGTGACTCTAGCTAACTACTGGGAAGTAAGAGTATGTACGTATCAGTATAGTATTGGGTGTATGGAATGTAGGCGGGAAGTGTATGTATGTGGGGTGAATTGTAAGACGTGTGGGAAATGGGTGTGTACGCAGTGTATAGGACCGGTAGAGGGAGTGGCATTATGTCGGGGGTGTAGTGAGTTAGTACGGGTGCGGATGGAAGTGAGTGGTGGTCGGGAGTGGATAGGTCGGAATGTCCAGGTACAGTATGCAATGTTACAGGAGTGTGTGCAGAGACCGAGTCAGGAGCGGTTGCAAGAACTGGTCCGGGAAGTACAGGTACTGGAGAAGGACTTAGTGGGTTCGGGTGTAGATGTGATTATTCGGCGGAATATTATTGTACGGATGAAACAAGTTCTTTGTGATTGGTACTTGGTGCGGGCACAGGAAGAGAAGTGTGCGGCATTGATTGAGCAGTTGGAGTACTTGCGAGTACTGAAGGAGAGTAATCCACAACTGACTGAAGTACTTGATCGGTCGATTGAAGAAGTTCTTCTGGAGATTGCCAGTAATAATCATGTATCTGGGTCTAATGCCTAGAGGTGTATAGTATTAAATTAAGATGAGTTAAGTTAAGTTAGTATTAAGTTAGTAGTGAGTTGAGTTGAGTTAGTATTAAGGTGAGTTGGGTTAGTAGTAAGTTAGTAAGAAGTTAGTATGGGCTTGGTTTAGTATAGCATTCGTTATCTTATCTTAACTCAACCTAATCTTAACTCAACCCAATCTCAACTTATCTTAACCTTATATTAGAGTGTTGTTTATTGGGTTGTAGATATGGTGATGAGTTGGGTTTTGGGTTGGTAGGAGAATGCCTGCTTGGAGACATAAACAGGTGGACAGTAAACAAACAATGCATACGTTCTTTGTCGGTGACTTGCACTTATCGGCTGGTCATAGGCGCTATATTAGTTACTTGCAGCAGTTACAAAGTGAAGGACGGGCTTATGATAAGACGGTGGTGGATGGATTGATTGAACGATTTATTGAAGTGGCCAATGATAATCATCACATTAAGGAAATTTGTGCTAGAAGACGAGGCCTGGCACCAAGTGAGTTTGTTTCTAAGTCGCGGTTGCAGGCAGTGATTGATGCTAGTCGGGCTATGGGTCAGGCAGAAGGCCGGGAGGAGTGTATTGAAGAGATCTTTGTTGGGGCTGTGCCTAAAGAGGAAAAAACGGCATTGAATCGGCAATTGCTGCAAATCAAAGAGGAGTTTTCGGCCTTATCAGCCCACGCCTTGTCAGTGCTTTTGATTATAGCGGAAATTGAGGATGTTTTAGCCGAGGAACCATTCAGCCTGGAAAATGAAAAGATTCGGGCGAGTGCGGTCCAAAGAAGATCTGCCGGAAACAAGACCATTGACTCTCCTGGGTCGGCCTCTGACTCAGTCTCCAAATGTTCCGGTTCAAACGAGTAGTTTACGCCGACGTCCAGTTCAAAACTTGCTTGATTCAAGTCAAACTCGGCTTAATTTTGGCCAGAAGAGGTATGAAACCTGCCATATATGTGGAACTAAGTACTTGCTAGCGGCTAAGGACGAAGTCGCTCTTCACAAACGAATCCATCGAGCCTATCTCAAACAACGATCTACGGCTGACCAATAGTTAGAAGAAGAGAGAAAAAGGGGTCGGACTGTGTTTACCAAGGGTGCAATGGAAGGAAGAGACACTATTCTAGTTTGGCTAGCCCACGATGAGATAACTGACATGGAAGAGTATGTTCAGATTTTGAAGACCAAAGATGCACCGATGTGCTGTAAAGTGACTTTATGGGCTTTAGCCCTAACCAAAACCTGGTTTCGTGCCTTGGAGCGGCCGCCTAAGTCGCACTACACGATCTTTCTAAGGTGTACAGAAGCTTTGCCGTGTCCTGAGTGTTTCAATCGCGAGGCCAGTGAGCAGGCCGTGCAAAAGGAGTTGGCTAGGACAGGTGCAGCCGCGACTGAGAAGCAAAATCAAAACAAGGATAGCGATAAGAAGGGGAGTAAAGGTTCAGTTGAACTACCTAGTAAAAAGCCAGCTAAGCCATCAGGCGATGAGCTAGTGGGTATTTTAAGTGACGATAAGATAGAAGATATTCTTAACCATCTTGATAATGACTTTGCTTCGGAAGAGCGTATTAAGAAAGGGACTAAAGAACGTATGTACTTTATCAAAACAGTGCTGAACACAATCAAACCTTTGCCAGACTATCAAATGCTGATTGAAAACAAAATAGTAGATCCAGCGGCCCTGAACAAAATCCTTGGGGTTGTGGTTTCTGCTATCTCGTACTTAACTAGGATTGAGATTGAGCCGGTTTTTAAACTGGTCTTTTTATTAGTCTCTAATCTGAATGGAATCTTCTTCAATCAAATTGGCCAGGAAATCAATACGAAAGGATTTAACAAGTTTCTGTTGTTTGTCCAGAATACAGCTTCCCTTAGTCGGACTCGGTTTGTCTTCTTACTCGACTTGATTTCAGCGCTTAATCAGAAAGCACTCAGTCAATTAGTGGTTGATATAATCAATGGCAAAGTTACTGTTTCGGGTCTGAAAGACAACTTACTAGATGTGTATGCGAAGTCAAGTGCCCGGGAAGTCGAAGTCTGTAAGAAAGGCCATCCTCTTACAATTGCCCGGATCTTTACTCCCGTGATTGTCTTTACACATCATTCCGACGCCAAAAGCCTAGAAGAGCTTTCGGAAGAGAATGCCCGGCTTAAGCAGAACATTGAGGTACTTTTTGGTGACATAAAGTACTACAACAGCTGCAACTTGATTGCAGATCTCAAAGCCGCCTTAGCCAAAAAGGAAAAGTCCGATCCCGCCCAGGAGGGTAGCACCTAATAAAAGCAGGTTTGGATTGAGTTAGTATTGTGTTGTATTGAGTTAAGTTGTGTTGTATTGTGTTGAGTTGGTATTAAGTTGTATTAAGTTGGTATTGTTGTGGTATGAAAGAAAGACTAGTCTAATCCTTCTAATGCTTATTGAAATATCATTTTACTCTATCGGCGGGTGTTACATTGTATTTGACTATATATGGGCTGATGACGTCATGATTTATATTCGGCCGAGTAGCAGTGATCATGAACACACCTGCAGCACCCGAGAGTGGGGTTATTTTTGACTGTAGCTACCGCGACTTAGCAACTCCATCTAAAGAAGGCCTGTCCTATCAACTGATCCGTGAGAGTTGCCAAACCCGTAGTACCACGGAAACAGTGCTAAGTTCAATTATTTGGATTAGCGTATCCAGCACTCTAGCTATTTTATCCTATCTCTTCTATATTTATGCCCATGCAGGCCAAAACCTAGTTGATGCTAACAACAGCCCGTACGACTTTTCCGATGTACTTGTTTTCTTGGGGCTAATGATCACAACTTGTGTAGTAGCTTTATTACTTCGCCAGTTATCTCGTCGGAAAGCGAACAAGGCGTTCAATCTTGGCGATGCTTTAGGCAGATGGTTTGTCTACTCTTTAGTATCCTTATGTGTATTTGGCGGGGCTGTTGTTCTTTTTGCTCATGTTGCTATTGATAACCAGAAAGCATATCTTATTGATCATCTGTTTGTTCTACCAGTCGGGCTACTGATTATTGGGTTAGTAGCAGCCTTTTTGGAGTACTTCAAGTTCAAAACCAAGTACCCTTCTGCTGCCAAAGTCGCTACATTTATTGCCCTTCTTCTTATTGGAGCTCTTTTACTTGCACTTACCCTTCTACTAACTCACATCTCATTTGAGATACTTGCTTTGGCCGCTAGTGCCGGCCACACCTAAGATCAATAAATTGACCTTGGCCACTGTTTTATTGTATTGGGTTAGGTTGAGTTAGGTTGATTTGTGTGTCCATTAGACTATTATTTAGAAGGTACCTAAGAGACACAATATAATATCCATCTTTAAGTACCTATTGGGTTAGTATAATCAAAACAACCATATAACACTGTGACATCAGGAATATCTAAACTTATGTCTTATTATTTACACACCATTATTCCTCTCAACATCAACTTAATACCAACATTAACTCAACTCAACCTAACACAACTCAATTTGAAAGCAAGTTGTTAGAGGTCGTGAACCCAGAAACCACGGAGGAATGTATCCTAAACCAACCCAACAATTCAATCACCTTTTATTGACCAACCAAGTCGCACTATAGTTACAAACCAAGAATATTATCTACTTCCATTGCCCTTTCAATACTAACCCAGATAATAAAATCCCACCATCCAAAAGCTCCAACCCAATCTCTTGACAGGGAAACGAAACAAAGCATGCATATGTTGGTTTAGAATGGGTCACCACACCACACCTAAGCCGACTCCACCATTCATTAAGTCTCCCACAGAACCTTTATTGATTTTACCGTCTTAGTCAAGTATCTCATTCTCCACTAGACAAACCATTAGACAAGCAACCATTGAATGCCAATAATTCAACAACCAAAGCAAGTACTAAAACCCGAACACACCACTACATCAACTTAAGGCCAATTTAACTCAACTCAACTCAATACCAACATAACTCCATACTAACTCAACTCAACTCATATATAGGTTTTATGATTTATTGATTGTTCATTTCTCCTTCTAATTCTACTAATCCTAATCCTAATATCAATCATAATACTAATCCTAATACTAATACTAATACCAATCATAATACTAATCCCAGAAAGAGAAACAACTGAGTCTAAAGCAATCTCTATTTTTAAGATACTTAATTGCCAAGACAAAACCTAGTATATCAGAATAATCTATCACTTCTCAGCTAAACCCAAATAAACATATATAATCAAATAACGAGATAGAAGACAAGACCTAATTTAGATATTGTACAAACAAAAACTCACTATCTATGATAAGACATTCATCTGATCATAATAAACTCTTCCAAATACTATCTCAATCCAACCTTATCTACATAAGAACCTTTTTAATAGCCTCTCTTTCTTGATAAGTCAAATCAAGCACCAATCTTGGCTTAACAATCAAATTACCACGACGTCCTCCACGAGTTCGATCGGGTAGTCCTTCCCCATCAATTATTCCCCCCTCCATTCTCATCCCCAGCACCACACTATCTATCTCAATCATGTTCCCAAGTAAACCTACTACGTGCTTTTTAGGATTAGATAAGGCTTCTTTCAACGGTATCTCAAATTCATAAACTAGATCTGATCCAGATATCTTAAATAAAGCATGAGGTTTCTCCACTAAAATAACAACTAAGTCCGTGCCACGGCCATCAGCAAATTCATCACCAGCATTATTAAACGTAATCTTAGTACCCGGCTTATATCCAGGTAAGATATTAACCACTACCTCATTAGTAGTAGTCGCACCATTACGCAGTCTCTTATTAATCCTTAAAGTCCTAGTTGCTCCTTTACAGATCTCCTCTAAACTAACAACTAACTTATACTCCGAGATAGCATTAGGAGCCGTCGATTGCTTAGATCTTGTCCCACCACCAAAACCACCCATATCTCCCCCATCAAACATTCGTCCAAAAGATTCAAAGATTCCACCATGCATGAAGTTCTGGCCATTACCAGCCCCATCAAAGGCAAAGTGGAAGCCATCACCACCAAATCCAGCTTGTTTAAAGAAACTACTTCCTGATTGACCAGCACCAAACCCTCCAAAGTTAGCACCAGCAGATGCATCAGTAGATCCAGTCAAATCATAGAGAGATCGGCGGTCCTTATCAGATAAGACTTCATAAGCATTATTAACCTCTTTAAAACACTCTTGCATCTTCTTTTGTTCTGCTTCGGACTTTTTGATATGTCTATCTGGATGGTACTTCATGGCTAACTTTTTGTAGGCGGCTTTGATTTCAGTATTAGAAGCTTTCTTATCTACTCCAAGTACTTTATATAGATCTTTTGAATGGTTCATGATTGGGGTGCATTTTTTTCGCTTTATTGTTTGGTTCTTCTGGAAATGTCTATGTCTGTGACTAGATCGCTAACCAATCGGATAGATAAGGATGTTGTAATGAGCTGGGTGGGGCAGGAGGAATTATTGGAGTATGTTGAGCGATTGAAAATTGGAGGGATTGATGCTAAGGAGGTTTTTGAGTTGTGCCAGCGGGCGATGGGGATTTTAGCACAAGAGTCGAGTTTATTGGTACTGAATGCGGAAGTGTTGATTGTTGGGGATATTCATGGACAGTTCTTTGACTTATTGGAGATTTTAGGGATTGAAGGGGTGGATCAGTACTTGTTTTTAGGGGACTATGTGGATCGTGGGGCCAATTCGTTAGAGACGATTTTGGTGTTGTTGTACATGAAAGTGCGCTGGCCGGATAAAGTATGGTTGTTGCGTGGCAATCATGAATCTAAGCGGTTGTCTTTGGCCTATGGGTTTTATGAGGAATGTATTCGGGCGTATGGGAGTCCGGTGGTTTGGGAGATGATTTGTGAAGTGTTTGATTATCTGCCTTTGGCGGCCGTGATTGACCAGGAGACTTTTGCCGTGCATGGTGGGATTGGGCCGAGTACGAGTTTAGATAAGATTTTAGGGATAGATAGGGTTGGGGATGTGCCGTTGAGTGGAGTAGTGACCGAATTGCTTTGGAGTGATCCGGATGAGGGCGTGCTTGAATTTACAGCGAACAGTCGTGGGGCTGGGTACTTGTTTGGCGCGGAACAGGTAGCGCAGTTCTTGCAGGAAAGTGGATTGAAACGGATTATTCGGTCGCACCAGTTAGTGGAGCAGGGGTACAATGAGATGTTTGGTGGGCAAGTAGTGACGGTTTGGAGTGCACCGAATTATTGTTATCGCTGTATGAACAAAGCTACAGTGATAAAGTTAGGCCGGGATGGGAGCATTGAGTACATTGAGGTGCCAATGGCTGAGAATCAGCGCGGGAAACCTAAACCGTCTCTTTATTTCCTCTAGAACAATAAACATAAGATTGTGTTAGTATTTAGATGGTATTTGGGTTAAGTATTGGGTTAGTATGGGTTAGGTTCTCTTTATCGTACGTCATCTTGAGATACTTCATAAACTCAGAGTATAAATACTAATCGGTGATTATGGTTTCTAATTCGAGATTTTAACCGCACTCGTGGCAATTAGTGCCAAGCCGATAAGTATTCCAGAGCTTTGCCCCAATAGACAACTCACTTTGAAGTGGAGATATATCGAGAGCCCCATTAAGATATGTGGGGGGCGGCCCGGACACCACACTAGCCTATAGCCTCCCCAGCCAAATACATGTTGTTTGAGCACGTCTAATCTAGCATTAACCCAATAAAGGTCTCTCCGCTATTATTTGTAAAGTATCTCGTTTCCAGTATGCCACTATTATACGAAGTACAATCGACCGCCGCTTTCATGACAAAGAGCGAGGTTTTGCCAGCAGCTACATTCAGCTAAGAATGTCACAAAATAACGAAATTGAGCACGCACTGGGACTAGTTAGCATTGTGTTGCAGTAATCTCTTTTGGATAGATACATTCTATCGAGCACCAAGTAGGCAATCAAAGTCTTTTATAGATATTGAATCATTGCTTTTATTCCTATCAACGCACTAGCCAAAGACTGTAGCATAGCATCGTGTTGGGTTAGTTGTTGGTGTGTGAACCGGTCACTCACATCGAGATGGTTGCAAATATCAAGACTAATGGCAATACTACAGAAGTGCTTCTTGTTACAATTAAGCTAGTTGTGTTATTTGGGTTTAATTAGTCCAAAAACACATATACGTTTGTTTGTTTGAGATAGCCGTATATGGGTATATTGTTAATTGTTTATTAATTGCACTAGATTAAATATTGATCTATAAATAACAACATAAGATAGAATTACAAAGTGAACAAAAGCATGAATAGATACTCTTTGAATGTTTATCAAGTAGTTTGCTTGGTTATTGGTTTGTGTTGTGTTTGGTGTAGTGCTGTTAGGAATTCAGATGAGATGGAGTTGGCTGATATATCTAAAGACGCCACGTTAGATATAGATAGTCAAATAAAATCGGTTTATGCTGAACTAACAAACGAAATAGACAATCTGAAACTCTTAAACGAGAATCAAACAAAGCAAATAGATCTAATAAAGCAGGGCCAACAGAACCTCAAGAAAGAAGAACGAGAGGTTTATGAGAAGTCGAAGTCAACCCAAAGCGATTGCAGCTTCTCTGACAAATCAAAGGATAGATTCAGACAGAAGAAGATTGAGTTACTATCTCAACTAATCAGAGAAGAAGTAATACAGAAAAGTGTTAATATAGTTATCCAACAAATGGAACAACGGTTATTTGAATGCAAGAGGATCCAGACGTCAAAGAAATCGAAATCGAAATCGAAATCGAAAACGAAAACGAAGCGCGAAGATAAGCTAGCAGATATAGTACAACAACTAAACCAAATTAAGAGTGCCTTAACGGGCCTACAAAAGCCATCTCGGAGAGAAGAAAGAATCATAGCTGAAAATAATCTAATCACAATAGGTGCCTATTACAATTACATTGTATTAAAAAGCCGAATCAAAGTGATCATAATAGAAGAACTAACGGAAATGGTACCTAAGATTGATATGTTAAACGGGAACGATCTAACAAATGTTATGGATTCAATGATAGATCAAGTATTGAAGTATGATAAACTCAAAAGCCCCAACAGCATATCTAGGATAATTGAAAAAACGCTAGCTCAACTTGATGGTACATCTAAAAACACGGAAGTCAAAAGTGAAAGTGAAAGTAAACAGGAGCCCACTGATTCAGAACCCTCTAATTCAAGAGCACAATTATGCAATCCCCAAACTAACGAATCAGGCATGGACGGTAAACTTCATTCAAGTAACAAATCTGCTGATCAAGATTCTACGTCATCTTTTAATAGATATGGGCTTAAACTACCCGAATTGGATCAAAAGGATTGTACACCTAATTTAAACTCAAAGGAAGTAAAGCTTCTCTGGAAGTTTATAAGTAACAGCAACGAGTACACAACAACAAATGAAGCCCCACCTGTTTGGAGAGCGTTTAATATCAACGAAGATAATCAACCCAGAAAGTATGGAGTATTTAACACTTCGTTGCAATATGATCATAAGGTTTATCTGAGTCTTGATTGGGAAGAAAGTGAACTGATGGAGTTACTAGATGTCTTAAAGAAGTTCAATCAAATCATATTCAATGTGGAAAAAGTCTGGCTATGGTATCCTCGCGGCCCGGCTGGTTTATTAGTCCTATCCCAGCTCTTAACACTCATCCAAAACCCAGAGTTGAATGCTATGAAGAAACCTCTTGAGATTACTATCTCTTTGCCGGATATAACTTGCCCTTCTTTGGAGTCATCATTCAATGATGTCAAGAAACGAGAGCAGTTCCGAAACCAAATTGAGGAGATCGAAGAGTCGCGATACATTATCCGCATGAGTATTCATGGACTCACATCAAATGTGCAGAAATTCATTTGGCCACTAGTAACTCATTTATCAATATCCAAAATAGATATAGTCTACCCCAATATGACCAAGATAGATTTTCTCGATGACGTCAACTGGATAAACGAATTCGTCCTCAGATTAGAGCTAGACTACCAAAAGGACCTTACTATTAGTTTAGGAGCCAGAACCGCGAAAGACAAAGATCTCCCGTTTTGTGCTTATCTAAGCATTAGAACTAACCTTTCAAACCAAGGCCAACCGCCTAGCAGCTCCGCAGAGATTCATGCTACAGGTCTTACTGAATATATTGGGCCCAATTCTTTTGTTAAGAATGGCAAGACCTTATGCACTTCATATTGGGTGTCCCCTGGCATTTCAACAAAAGATGGCCATAAGTTGGATCATTTGAAGCGGATTAACTAATAGCCAAGACATACTCTAATAAAGACATTCTTTGCGACGAGTAGTGCTTTTATTAAGTAAATATAAGTGTGAGTGAGTATGACGTCATATCGAAGTGTAGATATGCAAACTAAAATTGGTTGAATTGGGCTGGTGTTCGTGTCATGCCTGTGGGGAAGGGCTCCTCTTAGCCAATATTAATACTAACCCAACCCAACTCAATACCAACTCAACCAAAGACAAAGAAACATGCCAGATTCTTCATATAGTCGATGGTCTTAAGTTGGTTGTCATGAAGGTGCAACGTCTTGGACGCTTCCCTTAGATGTCTCAGTTAGAAACTCGTCTTTCGCTTCAAAGGTCTAATTCTTATTCCTCTTATCCCTCTCTGAATCTAATTCGCTATCTAATTTCTAGATAGTAAAACTTGCTACTCTTTATGGTTCTGATGTCGATCTAATACTTGTAACTTTACTACCAACTACTAACCCAGCATCAGTAATGAAAACATCATGTAGCCCAGATGATGTTTAACAATAAAGATTAGTCTCTTGATTCTTTACGATCTCTAAACTCTTTGCCCACTAATTAAGTAGTGTTGGGATTTTCATGTACAACAGTTGGTTATATTGGAGTTACATGTTAGTAGTAATATTAATAGATCATGTGGTGTCTGTACCAGTCCCCCACACATCTTAATGAGGATCTCGAGATATTTCTACTTTTAGACGAGTCAACTACAGGGGTAAAGAACTTAGATATTTATTCCATACTACTTTAGATAAGCTAAGATATCCCAAAAGAAATCTCAATCTTGTTATCACTTGTTTCAGAGTATAAATATACGACGAAGATTGATAAAGGCCTTTCTATGACTTCTATGGCATACATGAAAGATTCGCACAGAACTATACCAGATCTAGAAACTATTCAGATTCGCACCCCAAAATCCCAACATAACACCAGCACAATACTAACATAATACCAACCTGACTGATGATTTGTCTCTCGTAGAGTACGTTTGGTTGAGATGTCTTTATCCTTCCCTGGGGCACAACAGATAGCTACTAGCAAGTAGCTTGCTGGCCATCAGATTGATCATGTGGTGGATGGGTAGTGGTCGTATGATAGCACTGCACTTAGAATAAGTACAGTTTATTGGGCTGTTACTTGGGTTTGAGTTATGGTTTGGATGGTGTTTATATGGACTACGGGGCTAGATGAAGGATTCTTCTTTGGGTTCGTACTGGGCGTTGTATGATTTTGGGTGCTTAGATTAGGGATGACTCTTTATTTTGAATTGACAGATGAACTAGAGTGGATTATAATTAAGGCTATCAATCTATATTGTGAATTTTTGTGGGAGATCTAAGAATGCAGGGGGGTAGAATTGTGCTCGTCTGGGTTGTTTTAGTAGGTATACTGAGTTTGGTTGAAGGGATGAAAGGATCCAGGGCTAAAGCCTGTGCTGTTAATCCTACAGGTTCTGCTAAACCAACTGGAAGTATAGATAGAAATATGTGGAAAAGAAGAGATATGAATACGATAATAAGTAGTTCTAGTGGAGATAATAGCGATAAGACAACTAGAAACACTAAACAGATAAACACAACTGTTGACCAGAACCTAGAAGCTATCAAGTCGCTTGCTAAGAGAATCTTTGGTGGTAGTAGCATAGCCTATGATAAAAGTTCGACGTATAGACCAATCCATTACGTTATAACTAGAAATAAGACCAATCAGTGGAAATATGATATTGATGCTCGGGATGATGTACCTAGGTTTTCTTGGCCGGGCCGTTGTGAAGGGAGGCCGCTTAACGAACAGCAGAAGATCCTGGAAAATCTAGTTGCGTTGATTCGTCTTCGTGGCCTACAGGTCTATTACATTCTAAATGCTAAGCACCGTGTGGACTATAGGTTCTTCTTGGCCATTCTTCGCGTAATAGAGGCAGACTGGGTTCTTATCCATGATTGGAATATAGGGAAGAGTTGTGGACGTGGATGGAGCGGTGAAGAACAATTGGCTAAACTTAACGAAGCAGTTAAGTCACTTGGCCCAAGAACTACGCCCTGTACTGTTGTTGTAAAGCTTTACTTTAAGAGCATTCTGGCAGTTGAAATGGCCCACATAATATATCAGTTCATGAAAGCCCCTTCTCTTTTTCTGAAACACCATTACGTCTATAATGATTGGTGCAACAAAAAGGTCGAGAAAGTCGAATACATAACTACTCGGTTTAGTGAATATCCAGTTAAGACCAAGCTATTGTTTGCAGCGTTCTTGATGGATAAGAACAGACGCATGGAATTCGAATGTTATCTGGCCAAACATCCCAAGATAACTCTTTCTTTACAAATCGAACTTATTAATATATTAGATAGACTTGCTCCCAACCAAGCATCAACTTCTACTCGACATAATCAAAGCAATTCAATACTAACCACTACACATTCGCATTGGCCCCATCCCTCTATCAATATGATATGCCAAATGATCAAAAATCTACCTTATAGTCCTATTTATCTTCATTATACAAAGCCGTACAGAAACGCACCCTTACTTTCGCACGAATGTTTCAATCTAATCATCCAAATGCTTAATGCAATCCATGCCGTTAGTCCGGCATCAGTATTATCTATTAAAGGATTTATTGGAATCAAAGACCATACTACTACTGGTGGCCTTACAATACCTACTGTTAAGTGTAATTTCCCCTCTCTAAATCTCGAACGACCCGGCCACTCGCCTGATGTCTCTTTCTTTGAAACGATCCGAGCTTCGCAACCGCTCGTAATCAATATAGACAGGACCTTTCCTTTTGAGCATGTTCCACTGGTTATTGAGGCTCTAGTACAATCTAATATCACAATTAAAGCTTCCGCCCTACGATCTCTGTTGCGGATGCCCAATGCGACTATTGAGTCCATGTCTGTAGTTGCCGAGCAACTGTACAAACACTCTGTTGCCAGTGACATTAACACGTTGGGCAACATCATCTACAATCTTTTTGAATTCGCCAACCTCTCTATTTGGGCTTATCGCCGCTTCCCAATTCCAGATCTTATTTCAGCTTGTATACTCAAAGATGACGACACTGTTTATGTTAATCCCAATCACAATCGCTTTTTCTACTTCAAAGAGATTCAGCACAAAGTCTTTTACCACCCCATTGAGACTATCTTCTACCTACAAAAACAACTCAAGTACATTCTATCTCTTACTTCAAATGATCACCCCATAAAACCTTACCAAAACCTAACTAAGCTCAGAATCATCTTTTTCTACCGAGATATAGACAACCAACTAGTCGATTTAGTTCTACTTACTCTTCAATTCGTCAACCAAATTTATCCTGCCATATCTGATATTGTGATTGAGGATGTTATTGTTAACAACTATTTAGCCCAGCTTCTCGCTAATCAACTAGACGATCAATGGAATTGCATAAAAACCGGCGCTAATCCTAAGACAGCCCCAAGAATCACAATCAGACTCAAAAACCAAGAAACTCACCAATGGCTCTGCTACCAAATCTCACACATCTATGGCATAAATCACCACATTGATTCCATTGTTGAAATCACCATCATTAATCAAGACTTCTAGTCAATAAACATTCTTTCCCAACACTAACCCAATCTATTAGTGATGTCATAATGTAAACTAACCTTCAAAACATAAACATAAGATACTTAATCATTCCATTACATTACAACATGTTTATTGAATGGTAGCACAACCCAACTTAACGCAACAAGATATTAAACTATAAAGTCATTTTCGGATGACTATGGGACTACTTGACGCCAATCGCAAGTGCTGCAGCAGTACTGCAGTTTAGTTAGGGCTTTTATGCTTACGTACAGCAAGGAATATGGGACAAACTAACTAATGGACAAACTAACTAAGGGACAACCAACTAAGGGGCAAACTAACAGGGACCAATTAATATAGACAAACTAACAGGGACAACTAACTAAGGGACAGGTGGACACTACTGAGTGTTCGATAACATAGTACATGTTATAGAGTTACTAGTCATGAGTCTCTCGCAGTGCCACGGACCTCAAATTCTCTCTGTATTTATACTTTGGAAA